ACAGTTTAGGCCAGGTGCAGTGGCTCACACCTGTAATCCCAGCATGTTGGGAAGCTGAGGTGGGAAGATTGCTTAAGGCTGCTCTGACGGCACCTGTGAATGATCACTGCACTACAGGCTGGGCAACAGAACAGACCATTTCTAAAACAAAAAAATCCCCAAACAAGGAGAGACACAGAAACCAATTAGAAAGGGTCCAGTCAACCTAAGCAGGCATGATAGGGATGTCTTTTCTGCTTGAACAAGGAAAGTAATCTGATATGAACCAATCTGCTTTTTTTATTTTTCTGTTTCCTTGTTCCTGACGAAGCTACTTTACAAAAACCAACCATTCTGCCATGCCCAGTGCAGCTAGGTGGCATGATGCCCAGTTCATGTATCAATAATAAATGCCAATCATATCTCTAAACTAAATTTGTTGAAAAAAAATTTTTTTTGGAGACAGAGTCTCACTCTGTCACCCAGGCTGGAGTGCAATGGCAGGATCTGGGCTTACTGCAAACTCTGCCTCCCAGGTTCAAGCAATTCTCCTGCCTCAGCCTCCCAAGTAGCTGGGATTACAGGCGCGCACCACCACACTCACGTTATTTTTGTATTTTTAGTAGAGACGGGGTTTCGCCATGTTAGCCAGCTGGTCTCCAACTCCTGACCTCAGGTAATCTGCCTGCCTTGGCCTCCCAAAGCGCTGGCTGAAAAAAAAATTTTAATACATGCAATGTTTTTTTAAAATGAATAAACATTTAAAATCCAAAATTTCTTTTTTTTTTCTTCGACATGGAATCTCCCTGTCACCCAGGCTGGAGTGCAGTGACACTACCTCAGCTTACTGCAACCTCCACCTCCAAGGTTCAAGTGATTCTTCTGCCTCAGCCTCCTGAGTAGCTGGGACTACAGGCATGCGCCACTATGCCGGGCTAATTTTTGTATTTTTAGTAGAGACGGGGTTTCACTATGTTGGCCAGGCTGGTCTTGAACTCCTGACCCCATGATCTGCCCGCCTCGACCTCCCGAAGTGCTGGGATTACAGGCGTGAGCCATGGCACCCAGCCTAAAATTCTAAATTTCTAATATGGCTAATTTCTACAGATATAACACTCATGAACAAAAGCTCTTTGAGGTCCTCAATAACTTTCAAGAGTGTAAAGAGGTCCTGAGACACAAAAGTTTAAGAGCTGCTTGTCCAGGCTGGGTGTGGTGGCTCACACCTGTAATCCCAGCACTTTGGGAGGCTGAGGCAGGAGGATCATTTGAGGTCAGGAGTTTGAGACCATCCTGACCAACATGGTGACACTCTGTCTGTACTAAAAATACAACTTAACTAGGTGTGGTGGCAAACACCTGTAATCTCAGCTATTTGACAGGCTGAAGCAGGAGAATCACTTGAATCAGAGGTTACAGTGTGAATCAGAGGTTACAGTGGGCCAAGATGACGCCACTGCACTCCAGCCTGGGCAACAGATAGAGGCTGTCTCAAAAAAAAAAACAAACAAAAAAAAAAACCAGAACTGCTCGTCTAAACATCAGCTGTTACTGCAGGACCAGAACACTGAGGTGGAGAATTGCCTTTTGAGTTTAGTAACGAGGAAGGGCTTTTGCAATTATGAAAAAAAAAAAAAAAAAAAAAAGTTGTTTTTGTGGAGCAGAGAGAGGGAGAAGGAGGAAGTAACATATAACACCAGACCTCTTTTCTGAAGTTTGACTATGGTTTTATAATAGATGCATCAGGCTGACAATGCAATTGACAAAAATTCTCTGCTTTGCTAAACTTTAGTAATGCTTCCAAACCTTCTCCTGGGCCCATGTATTTACTTCCTTGTTTATTTATTTGAGACAGAGTTTCCCTCTTGTTGCCCAGGCTGGATGGAGTGCAGTGGCACGATCTCAATCTCGGCTTACTGCAACTTCTCCCTCCTGGGTTCACGCAATTCTCATGCCTCAGCCTCCTAAATAGCTGGGACAACGCGCCACCACGCCCGGCTAATTTTTGTATTTCTAGTAGGGATGGTGTTTCACTATGTTGGCTAGGCTGGTCTCAGACTCCTGACCTCAGGTGATCCACCTGCCTCGGCCTCCCAAAGTGCTGGGATTAGAGGCGTGAGCCACCCTGCCTGGCCTGCAGTATTATTTCTTTCCTTTTTTAAAAAAATTTTTTGAGACTGAGTCTTGCTCTGTCACCCAAGCTGGAATGCAGTGTCATGATGTCAGCTCCCTGCAACCTCCTCCTCCAGGGTTCAAGCAATTCTCCTGCCTCAGCCTCCCAAGCAGCTGGGACTACAGGCACATGCTGCCATGCCCAGGTAATTTTTTGTATTTTCGTAGAGATGTGGTTTCACCGGATTACTCAGGCTGGTCTCCAACTCCTGAGCTCAGGCAATCGGCCCGCCTCAGCCTCCCAAAGTGCTGGGATTACAGGCGTGAGCCACTGTGCCCTGCAGCATTCTTTCTAATAAAACTTTTCTTTTTCAAGCCTATGCTGTCCTCAGTAAATTCTTCTTACTGTTAGAAATAAGTTCTCGGTGCCACAGAGAGAGACCAGCACTCAGGAAAAAAGTTTCTCAGCAAGGCAAAGTTTACTTCTGCAGAAGGGTGCTGCCCGGACCTGTACCAAAAGCACACCTAACAAAGGAGAGCAGGGGTTTTTAACCCCATTGGCTAGGCTTGGACCTCACAATCTAAGCTGATTCCCATTGGCTATTTCAAATAGAGGCGGGTATGGGTTGCCGCTGCGAGGAGGGGCAGTTTCCCCGGGAAGGGTAGTTTCCGCAGGAAGGGCAGTTCACAGAACAAAGGACAAGGAAGTTAGATATTTGAAGAGGAACTCATTCTGTCTAACATTACCAACACTTTCGCTCCCGGGGCTCTGATATCTCGCCCAGCGAAAGAGATTTCTTTTTTTAGATGGAAACGCCTTGTGCTTGAACAGGCTTGGGAGCGGACCAGGAGCCCGAGAAAGGGACCAGTAGAGATGCAGGAGGACAGGAAGGAGGCCCAGTCGGCTCCAGCCACTAAGGGAGCTCGATCGCTTCACTTCCACTGTGGCCAGAAAGTTAGTTTCGGCGACTCCCCCGGGACGCTGGTTCCCCGCCTCGGATTAAGCTCGGTTGTCTATACCAGATGCCTGGCGCCTGCGCTGCACGGCCCTTAGCGGAGGGCGGAGCCAAATGCCTACATCCCACAATCCCCCGTAACGCCGGGAAGAGCGAGACCTCAGCTTCCAGCTTTGGGCAAGACCAGGCTGTTTTCTGGGAAATGCCGTTTGCGTTTCAGGCTGCTTCTGCTGTCTTTGAGACTACGCGTCCCATAATGCACCAGGCGCGCAACGTCTGAACGGTGCGCTGCTGCCCCCTTATGGCAGCTGGGCGGTCATTGCCGAGGCTTGGCACGCTAAGGTTGCGGGATCTGGGAGCCTGGCCCAAGTCCTGGGAACTCCTGGGAATTCCCTCCCGACCCCAGACTTTGGGCAGGAAAGGTGGGGTGTTGACGGGAAACGGTGAAGGACTTGCAGACAGGGCCCCTGTGAGGATTAAAGGAAACCAGCCCAGTAACTGCTGGCTGTATATAATCCTTAAAAATGTGACACGCCATGCGCTGGTGTCGTGGTGTCGGCCCCCTTTTTTTTTTTTGAGATGGAATCTCGCTCTGGCACCCAGGCTGGAGTCCAGTGGTGTGAACACAGCTCACTGCAGCTTCTGCCTCCCCAGGCTCAGGTGATCCTACCACCTCGCCTTCCAAGTAGCTGGGACTACAGGTGTGTGCCACCACACCCAGCTAATTTTGTTGTTGTATTTTTTGTAGAGACAGGGTTTCTTGCCATGTTGTCCAGGCTGGTCTTAAACTCCTGAACTCAAGTGGTCTGCCCTCCTCGGCCTCCCAAAGTGCTGGGATTATGGGCAGAGCCAACATGCCTGGCTTTTTTTTTTTTTTCTTTTCTTTTTGAGATGGAGTCTCACTGTCGCCAGGCTGGAGTGCAGTGGTGTGATCTCAGCTCACTGCAATCTCCACCTCCCGGGTTCAAGCCATTCTCCTGCTTCAGCCTCCTGAGTAGCTGGGATTACAGGCACATGCCACCACACCCAGCTAACTTTTGTATTTTTAGTAGAGACAGGGTTTCCCCATGTTGGCCAGGATGATCTCGATCTCCTGCCTTGGCTTCCCAAAATGGTGGGATTACAGGCGTGAGCCACTGTGCTCGGCCTCTTTTCTTTTTTTTTGGTTTTGAGACAGGGTCTTGCTCTGTCATCCAGGCTGGAATGCAGTGGTGCCATAACTCACTGTAGCCTCGACCTTCTGGGCTCAGGTCATTCTCCCACCTCAGCCTCCCAAGTAGCTGGGACTACAGGCATGCGCCACCATACCTGACTCATTTTTTGTATTTTTGGTAGAGATGAAGTTTTGCCATGTTGCCCAGGCTGGTCTCAAACTCCTGGGCTTAAGCGACCTGCTAGCTCGGTCTCCCAAAGTGCTGGGATTACAGGTAAGAACCACTGTGCCTGGCTGAGTTATACATCTTTTTTTTTTTTTTTTTTTTTTTAGACGGAGTCTCACTGTGTCGCCCAGGCTGGAGTGCAGTGGCGCGATCTCGGCTCACTGCAAGCTCCGCCTCCCGGGTTCACGCCATTCTCCTGCCTCAGCCTCCGAGTAGCTGGGACTACAGGCGCCTGCCACCACGCCCGGCTAGTTTTTTGTATTTTTAGTAGAGACGGGGTTTCACCATGTTAGCCAGGATGGTCTCGATCTCCTGACCTCGTGATCCACCCGCCTCGGCCTCCCAAAGTGCTGGGATTACAGGCTTGAGCCACCGCGCCCGGCCTATACATCATTTTTAAAGGCAAAGAATATCCCCTCCTTTCCCTTCCCCTTCTTCCTGGTAGCTACAGCAGATGAGGTGGGAATGAGAAGATGGGGGAGCAGCAAGATATAAGGACATGGAGGCTGGCCCCTGATACAGAAGGGTCACTATTTACCCAGTGGGTCCCCAAATCATCAAGTCCTCCAAATCCTTTCTGGGTTTCTAGTGAATTTAATGCACGAGTGTCAAAAATCAATGGCAGAGGAAAAAATGAATAAAATTAAAATGGGGTCAGGAGAAAAGGGCCATGGGCACACACAGGAGGGGCAGTCAGTGGCCGAGTTAGGAGCTGCAGCAGTGGAATTCCTTGGGTGTCATATCTCGTCCAACCCGTAGTCCTCCTCTGGGAAGTCCCCCACCGTCACGACTGCTGGCTTGACAAAGGCGCCATACTTGGCCTGGCATTCGAAGTAGCGTTTCCCATTCACACTGCAGGACAGGATGGGGGTGGGTGTAGTCAGAGGATCCTCACATGGCTCCACTCCAGGTGCTGGCATGGGCAGCTCAGCCAGCAGCATGCATGGACTTACACACAAACGCACGTACAGACACCTGAGTGGGAATTCTTGTTACCTGCCATCATTTTTCCCCAGTGGCTCATCATAGCGGACACCAATCCAGTAGCCAGGCTTGAAATCTGTGAGACCTGCCCACAGAAGAGAAATCCCCATTAAACTTCTGGACATAGAAGAAATCCCATGAAATTTCAGGATCACCCTGGATCCGTGTCGGCCCATGTCTTGGTGAAAACCAATTCTTGCTACCTCCACTGCTACCACTAGGACCATCTCCATCTCCTGTCCAGACTAATATGGTAGCCACTTCGCTGGTGTCCCTGCTCCCACCCCTGTCCCCCATTCACTGGGTGAAGACACCAGCCAGTGAGGGCTTCATAAAAACCTAAAGTGGATGGCACTGCTGCCTTGCCAGAGGGAGAGGCTTCAGAATAAATCCAACCTGCTGACAGCTTGATCTTGAACTTCTACCCTCCATTACTGTGAGAAATAACTCTTTTAAGTCACCTAGTGAGTGGTACTTTGTTAGCAAACTAATACACAATACTCAGCGACAAAAGACAGCATCCCAATGAAAAAGCAAGCAGAGGAATATACAAGGAACTCAAAGAACTCAACACCCATCCCGCAAAAAAATAAAATCCCATTAAAAAGTGGGCAACACGAAGTTGAGGCAGCAGTGAGCCATGATCATGGCCAAAGGATATGAACACACATTCCTCAAAAGATGACACACTGGCCAGGCACGGTGGCTCACGCCTGTAATCCCAGCACTTTAGGAGGCCAAGGAGGGTGGATCACGAGGTCAGGAGATCGAGACCATCCTGGCTAACACGGTGAAACCCCATCTCTACTAAAAATACAAAAAATTAGCCGGGTGTGGTGGCAGGCGCCTGTAGTCCCAGCTACTCGGGAGGCTGACGCAGGAAAACCATTTGAATCCGGGAGGCGGAGGTTGCAACGAGCTGAGATTGCACCACTGTACTCCAGCCTGGGCACAAAGTGAGACTACGTCTCAAAAGAAAAAAAAAAAAAAAAAAAAACCCCCGACATACTGCTGGGCGCGGTGGCTCATGTTTGTAATCCTAGCCCTTTAGGAGATCCACGAGCCTCAGGTGGATCACTTGAGTCCAGGAGTTTGAGACCAGTCTGGCCAACATGGCAAAACCCTGTCTCTACTAAAAATACAGAAATTAGCCAGGTGTGGTGGTGCTCGCCTGTAATCCCAGCTACTCGGGAGGCTGAGGCATGAAAATTGCTTGAACCCAGGAGGCAGAGGTTGCAGTGAGCTGAGAGCACCACTGAACTCCAGCCTGGGTGATGGAGTGGGACTCTGTGTCAAAAAACATGAAACAAAAGGCAAAGGATCTGAATAGACATTTCTCCAAAGAAGATACACAAATGGCCATGAAAAGATGCTCAACATCATTAGCCCCCAAAAAAGTGCAAATCAAAACCATAATGATGTTCCCCTTCACACCCAGTGGATGACTATAAGCAAAAGACAGACTAAAGTGCTGGTGAGGATGAGGCCAAGATGGGACTCTTGTGCGCTGCTGGCGGGAATGAAAAATGCTGCAGTGGCTGTGGAAAGCAGTGTGGCAGGTCCTCAAAAAGTCAAGCACAGAGTTACCATGTGGCCCAGGGATTCCATTCCTAGTCACAGATAAATTAAAACAAATGTCCACACAAAAATTTATTTACTTTTTTTGAGATGGAGTCTTGCATAGTCACCCAGGCTGGAGTGGAGTGGCGTGCTCTTGGCTCACTGCAACTTCCACCTCCCAGGCTCAAGCGATTCTCCTGCCTCAGCCTTCCGAGTAGCTGGGATCACAGGCACGTGCCACCATGCCCAGTTAATTTTTGTATTTTTAATAGAGATGGGGTTTCACCATGTTGGCCAGGCTAGTCTCAAACTCCTGACCTCAGGTGATCTGCCAACCTTGACCTCCCAAAGTGCTAGGATTACAGGCATGAGCCACCGCGTCCGGCCACACAGAAATTTATACAAGAATGTTCAGGCCGAGCATGGTGGCTCACGCCTGTAATCCTAGCACTTTGGGAGGCTGAGGCAGGATGATCACTTGAGCAGGAGGAGTTTGGAGACTAGCCTGGGCCACATAGCGAAACTCCATCTCTACAAAAAAACTGCAAACCTTTAGCCGGGGGTGGTGATGAGTGCCTGTAGTCCCAGCTACTCAGGAGGCCGAGGTGGGAGGACAGCTTGAGCCCAAGAGGTTAAGGCTGAAGTGGCTGAGATTGCGCCACCGCATTCCAGCCTGGGCAACAGCCACATCCTGTCTCCAATTAGAAAAAAAAAAAAAAAAAAGAAGAAGAAGGTTCATAGCAGCATTATTCATAATAGCCAAAAAGTGGAAATGACCCTAATGTCCACTAACTGGTGACTGGATAAAATGTGGTCTATGCGTTCAATGCAGGACTACTTGGTAACAGTGTGGCAGTGACACAGACATGCCATGGATGCAACCTGAAAGCATTCTGCTCAGTGGAAGCAGTCAGTCACAGATTGCACGATCCTATTCCTATGAAACATCCGGAATCGGCAAATTAGAGACAGAACGTAAATTAGTGGCTGCAGATGACTGGGGGATGGGTACACACAGACATAAAGACGGAAATAACAGATAGTGGGGATGCCAGAAGCGGGAGGGTGGTGAGGGTTGAAAAATTACCTATTGGGTACGATGTTCACAATTTGGGTCATGGGTACACTAGAAGCCCAGTCCCCACCCACTAGCAGGCAACACACCCATGTAACAACACCACATGTACCCCCTGAATCTTTTTTTTTGAGACAGGGTCTCGCTTTGTCACCCAGGCGGCAGCGCAGTGGTGCGATCACTGCTCACTGCAGCCTCACCTCCTCCCACCTCAGCCTCCCAAGTAGCTGGGGTACCTATAGGTGCTCATCACCACACCTGACTAAAGTCTTGTGGGATTTTTTTTTTTTTTTTTTTGTAGAGACAGAGTCTCATTATGTTGCCTAGGCTGGTCTTAAATTCTTGGGTTCAAGTGATCCTCCTGTCTCAGCCTCCCGAAGTGCTGGAATTACAGGTGTGAGCCACTGCACCCAGCCTTTGTTTTGAGACTGGGTCTTTCTCTGCTGCCCAGGCTGGGGTGCAATGACACAATCATAGCTCACTGTAACCTCCAACTCCCGGGCTCAAGCAAGCCTCCCACCTTGTTCTCCCAAAGTGCTGAGATTACAGGCGTGAGCCATCATGGCTGGCCTGTTCTTTTTTAAAAAATCCACATTGCTCTCCACTGTGACACCACCCTGCCCATGCCCCTGACTTCACTTCTCCCCTCTCCTCCCGCTCCCCTTCCCTGGGTGAACCTCCTGCGCTCTGCTCACCTGCACCGGCTACTCCTTCTGGTAGGAACTCTTCCTTCCTTTTCACCTGGCTGCTGCCCCCTTTCCTTCAGATGCTCCCAGGTGCTTCCTCTGGGCTCACACAGCCCCCTGTGTTAGTTCCCCTCACTCCTGCCCTGGTCACGCCGCCCGTTTCCCCACTGCGACTGGCACTGTGCTCCACGCTTCCAAGCGCACAGTCTGCGTGGCTCTGGCCTCTGCTGCCTCCCTCGCTGGACAGATCACTCCACCTGTGCCTCCCACTTCCCTCCACAAACACTGGGCGGTCAGTGTCGGCCGATGGTTCCACCACCTCCAGGGACTGAGATCGTTTCGAACCCCCACCACCCCGCACCCCAAGGCAGAGCGTGAGGTCTCCGAAGCTCCACTGTGTGCACAACGTCTCCTCCCGGCCTTGCAGCCCGGGACCCCGGGGCCCGCGGACCACGCACCTACATACATGACGGTGCCCCGGCGGGGGGAGTGCCCCGCCGCCCGCACCTCACAGCGGCTGCCCACGGGGATGGAGCTGGCCTGGGCCTTCTCCTCGGCGAGGCGCTGGGCGGCCTCGGCCTCCTGCTGAGCCCGCTCCTCCTCGTTGTAGCGGCCGAGCTTGCTGCGCTTCAGGAAGGAGCGGACCGTGTCTGCGGGCGGAGGGGGCTGGAGTCAGTTAAGGTATCGGCTGGGCCTAACATGATGGCGCTCCACCCACGAAGGGCCCATGTTCATGGAGGAACTCTCTCTTCCAGGTGACAAAGGGCTGTCACCCAAGTCCCAGGTCTCCCACCACAGCCTTAGCCTCTCCCAGGACTCCTAGGGCCTCGCCATAATCAGAAACGGCAGGGGTGCCGCGTGCACCCCTCACCACAGGACCCACGGTCTCTCACCCCTTCAGCACACATCTGCCTTCATCATCCGCCTTCCTTCGGCTCTGAGGCCCCGTCTCCCCCACACTCTGATCCGTCCCAGGTGCCCTCACTGACCGCCACCCTGGCCACTCACATTCCACCTGTGCTGCCCTTCACACCCCATCCGACCTCTCCATGTCCCCTTCTGACCCTGACTGCTGCCCCCAACACCCCGCCCCCACACTTACCCCTCAACTCCCTCCACTTTCCCAGCCCTCCCCCCACATCTGACTGCCCACAGCCCCCGACACCTCCCGGCCCCCATTCCCACCCCAGACCCCCGCCTGTCCCCACTCCCAGCCTCACCCCTATATCCTCCCAAGCTCTCGGTCCCCACTGCCCACACCACTGGCCTCCCTGCAGTGGCCCTGTCTACCCTGCCCGCCCCCACGCCTGCACAGACTCCCTCTGGCCCCCACGCACCTCTCGGCGCCCACCTGCCCGTACCTTGCCTCTGGTCGTAGGCTTCTTGTGAGATCGTGTACTTCTCCACCCGGGACACGTCCTCATACTCACCAAGGCGGGCGCCGCTGTGGTCAATGACCTGTGTGAGAGGAGGGGCTCCGTGGGGATCAGGGTCTGGCCAGGGAAGCCTGGGTGCTGGGTGCAGGGACTTCAGTGTCTCCCATCTGGGAAAAACGCATCTCCCTTCCTCGCCTGTATGGCAGCCTTCTCTCCTCTCCTGATCCCCGCGGAAGGGAGAAGTAGCTACCTACACTGGCCGCCTCCCCTTCCTCACCCCCATCCAAGCTCCCGGAGACTGCCTCTGTACCCAGAAGTCCCCCACTTGCTGGCATCAACATCACCAAGGGCCCCAAATTCACGGAGTCCAACCAGCAGAGCTCAGGCCCTGCCCACAGCCCTGTGCATGGCGCATCTCCTGCTGGGCCTCTGGGACTCTCCTATGCTGGCCCCAATCACAGGCCCCAGAGCATCTCTTCCTGTTCTGCCCCTGGTATTCATTCACTCATTGGGTTCTGAGCTCCCAGGGGCCCAGCTGGGCCTCATGCTGGGGACTCAGTGCAAACACAGACACATTCTGCCCTCAGGCTGTGCTCATTGTGCAGCCAGAAGGCCAACCACAAAGGAACAGGTACCTATGAAACACCAGAGGATGGCTATGGAGAAAAATACAACAGAGAAGAGGCTTAAGGAGCATGGGAGAGCAGGCTTCCCAAAAGAGGGGATGTTTGAGCCAAGGCCAGAAGGATGAGCAAGAATGGCAGGTGCCATTCTTGAGCCAAGGCCACAGGTAGAAATGTCCTTCACGCTCTGGAGTGGGGGGCGTGGGTGGGGTGGAGGAAACCAGAGCGAGAGTGGAAGACACAAGCGGCTGCTGTAGACTTTGGGTTTTGTTTTTTTGATGGAGTCTCGCTCTGTCGCCCAGGCTGGAGTGTGGTGGTGCGATCTCAGCTCACTGCAACCTCTGCCTCCCCCTAAGTTCAAGTGATTCTCCTGCCTCAGCTTCCTGGGCAGCTGGGACTACAGGCATGCACCACCACGCCTGGCTAATTTTTGTATTTTTAAGTAGAGACAAAGTTTTGCCATGTTGGCCAGGCTGGTCTTAAACTCCTGACCTCAAGTGATCTTCCTGCCTCTGCTTCCCAATGTGCTGGGGGGGATTACAGGCATGAGTCACCGACCTGGACTAGACTTCGGTTTTTATCTGGAGCAAGCTGCCGCCAGGGCACGGCTCTGAGCTAAGAGGGCCCTGGCCTGACTCAGGTGGTCCCAGGCTCCCTCTGGCTGAGATGGGGAGCGGGGAGGCCAGGGAAGAAGTTGCCAGGATGGCGAGGTTGGGGGAAGGATGGAGGCTGGACCAAGGTCAGGGAAGTTTTTGTAGATGGAGCCGACAGGATTTGATGAGAATGGATGTGGGGGTGAGGGAGAGAGCGGGCCCAAGGAACACCCTGAGGCATTTGGCCTAAGACACTGGGCTAACATGGCAAAATAGGAACGGGCTTTATTTCCAGATCAAACATCACTGAGAATTTCTGCTATGTTGAGAATTTTCACAAATTTGAAGTTCTGTTATTTTTAAACAATGAATATGGGTGATATTTATAAAGAGAAAAAGAATTTTAGAAAACGTGGCCGGGTGCGGTGGCTCAAGCCTGTAATCCCAGCACTTTGGGAGGCCGAGACGAGCCGATCACAAGGTCAGGAGATCAAGACCATCCTGGCTAATACGGTGAAAACCCCGTCTCTACTAAAAATACAAAAAACTAGGCGGGCGAGGTGGTGGATGCCTGTAGTCCCAGCTACTCGGGAGGCTGAGGCAGGAGAAAGGCCTTGCAGTGAGCTGAGATCCGGCCACTGCACTCCAGCCCAGACTGGCCAACAGAGCGAGACTCTGTCTCAAAAAAAAAAAAAAAAAAAAGAGAACGTAAAAATTCCCCGGTGGCTCCGCCTCTGGAACACCTTCCTTGAGTGGCCTGGGAGGTCTGTGTGTACCTGAACCACCTGGTATGAAACCTGCTCAAAGAAACCACTGCCTATGAGATACCTATGAACACCCGCACCCCTCAGCTTCAGCTGCCCAGGGTGGTCCAAAGGCTCAGTCCTGTGCACCCAGCAGAGGCCTGACCCACAGCTCCAGGCCTCGCCCCCTCATCTGGACTCTCACAGCAGCCCCCTCCTGGTCTCCCTACTCTTCCTGTCCTCCACCGTCTGTTCCCCACACACAGCCAGAGGGGCACCTGAGCCACGTCAGGGTCCTCCCCAGCTTCCATGCTATTTAGCCACAGAAGTGGCCTGTCTTAATCCCCACTGTGCTCCCTCCCACCTTGGAGTGTTTGCTGGGCCCCATTCCTAGGGCACCCCTTCCCCATCTTCAGGTAACTCTTTTTTTTTTTTTTTTTAAGATAGGATCTCGCTCTATCATGCAAACTGGAGTGCAGTGGCATGATCTCGGCTCACTGCAACTTCCAGCTCCTGGGTTCAAGTGATCCTCCTGCCTCAGCCTCCTGAGTAGCTAGGATTACAGGCATCTGCCACCACACCCAGCTAATTTTTGTATTTTTTGTAGAGATGGGGTTTCACCCTCTGTGGGGAAAAGAAAGAGCGATCAGACTGTTACTGTATAGAAAGAAGTAGACATAAGAGACTCCATTTTGTTCTGTATTTGAGATGCTGTTAATCTGTGACCCTACCCCCAACCCTGTCCTTGCTGTGACTCAAGGTTTAACAGATTTTGGGCTGTGCAGGGTGTGCTTTGTTAAACAAGTGCCTGAAGGCAGCTTGCTGGTTAAAAGTCATCACCATTCTCTTAATCTCAAGTACCCAGGGACAGGGACCTCTGCCTAGGAAAGCCAGGTATTGTCCAAGGTTTCTCCCCATGTGATGGTCTGAAATATGGCCTCGTGGGAAGGGAAAGACCTGATCGTCCCCCAGCCCGACACCTGTGAAGGGTCTGTGCGGAGGAGGATTAGTATAAGAGGAAAGAAGGCCTCTTGGCAGTTGAGATAGAGAAAAGCATCTGTCTCCTGCCCGTCCCTGGGCAATGGAACATCTCGGTGTAAAACCTGATTGTATGTTCTATTTACTGAGAAAGGAGAAAACCGCCTTAGGGCTGAAGGTGGGACTTGCTAGGGGCAATGCTGCTCTTATGCACTAAAAAGGTTTATGGAGATGTTTGCATATGCATATCAAGGCATAGCACTTTTCCTTAAACTTATGTCACAGAAATCTTTATTCATATGTCTTACTGCTAACCTTCTCCCTATGATGATCCTCTTATCCTGCCTTTTCTAAGATGGTAAAGATAATGATCAATAAATACTGAGGGAACTCAGAGACTAGTGCTGGCGCAGGTTCTCTGTCTGCTGAGCGCCAGTCCCCTGGGCCCACTTTTTCCTTCTCTATACTTTGTCTCTGTGTCTCATTTCTTTTCTCAAGTCTCTCGTTCCACCTAATGAGAAATGCCCACAGGTGTGGAGGGGCAGGCCACCCCTTCAACCTTCTCTACTAAAGAGACGCGGTGGCTCACGCCTGTAATCCCAGCATTTCGGGAGGCCGAGGCGGGTGGATCACCTGAGGTCAGGAGTTCGAGACCAGCCTGACTAACATGGTGAAACACCATCTCTAATAAAAATACAAAAATTAGCCGGTCATAGTGGCGGGCACCTGTAATCCCAGCTACTCGGGAGGCTGAGGCAGGAGAATCGCTTGAACCAGGGAGGCGGCGGTCGCAGTGAGCCAAGATCACACCACTGCACTCCAGCCTGGGAGACAAAGCAAGACTCTGTCTCAAAAATAAATAAATAAATTCTACCCTGAAGCTAAGTTTTCTCTTCTGCAAAATGGGGATAATTACATTATCCTTGCGGTCTTACTTTATGGATTCAATTCATCATTCAACAATGATTCACAGGGCTGGGCTAGGTGGCTCACACCTGTAATCCCAGCACTTTGGAGGCCGAGGTGGGCGGATCACTTGAGGTCAGGAGTTCAAGACCAGCCTGGCTAATATGGTAAAACTACTTAAAATACAAAATTACAAAATTAGCCGGGTGTGGTGGTCCACGCCTATAATCCCAGCTACCAGGGCAGCTGAGGCAGGATAATAGCTTGAACCCAGGAGGCAGAGGTTGCAGTGAGCTGAGATTGCACCACTGGATTCCAGCCTGGGGAACAAGGGCCGGAAACTCTGTCGCAAAACAAAACAAAAAACGATTCACGGACTATCCTCCCTGTCCCAGGCACTGTTCCAAGTACTGGGGACACAGCAGTGAATTATAGTGATCAAAATTTCTGCCCTCAGGGCAATCGAATCCAGGGAGGCAGAGAGTAAATAAACCAGATGAGAGAAGTCCAGAGTGTGTCAGAGGGGAATCATTGGTAAACACAAAAATCTAAAATAAAGCAAAGAAAGGAAAAAGAATGAGGTGAACATTAACACTGAGGCCAGTGAAGGCTTCGCTAGAATGGTGACACTTTTTAAGACAGGAAGGAAGGGTGAGGCACGCAGGCATATGACAAAAGAACCATTCAAGTAGAGGATCCAGAGGCAGTGCTCACCTGGGATGTGCAAAGAGCAATGTGGCTGCTACAGACTGAGTGAGGTGGGGAGGGAATAAGGACAGAAAGGGGCCGGGCTTGGTAGTTCATGCCTGTAATCCCAGCACTTTGGTAGGCCAAGGTGAGCTGATCACTGGAGGTCAGGAGTTCCAGACCAGCTTGGCCAACATGGCGAAAACCCATCTCTACTAAAAATACAAAAATTAGCTGGGTGGGCGCCTGTAATCCCAGCTACTTGGGAGGCTGGGGCACAAGGATCGCTTGAACCCAGGAGGTGAAGGTTGCAGTGAGCCTAGATCCTGCCACTGCACTCCACTCCAGACTGGGCGACAGAGTGAGACACTGTCTCAAAAAAAAAAAAAAAAAAAAAAAAAAGGACAGAAAGGACGTGGTGAGCGGATGCACAAAGAAGTCCTCTGTGTTCTGGCTTCTCCCAAGCTGTCCAGCCTGGTCGCTCACTGTGACCTACCTGACATTCTAGGCTTCTGTACCCCCTGCTCCCTCCTTTCCACCTCTTTCTCTTAAGTCACCCTTTCCTCATCCCTCAGCTCAGACATCCCTTCCTCCAGGAAGCCCTCTCTGATTGTCCCAGGTGGTCAGGCACCTCTCCTGGGTGGCCCCAGCCCCCTGGGATTTCCTGATCCCAGCCCAAACCACTCTAGGCTATCCCTGTCTAATGATGGGTCTGTCTCTCCTCAGGCTGCACTGGAGGCTCCACGGGGGCAGGACCTATCTTGCGTATGACTGAGGGCAAAGTCTCGCAAGTGCCTGTTGAATAGCCAAATGAATGGTGGGGCGGGGAAGTGTCCCAGGTAGAGTCCTCACGTGGATGCGGCAGCCGTCATCTACAGGGTAGGAGCCCAGCAGCGCATCCTCTTGATCCAGCTTGCTGTAGAACTTGTCATCAACACCATACAGCTCCAGTTCCATGCAGGAAGCAGGGCTGCCCACCAGCAACTCCAGTTTACACTGCGAGGAGGAGGCAGGGTGAGAAGAAGGAGGCCAGGGGCCCCGCCCCTTGCATCAATGACCATCGCCACGTCCCTGTTCCTCCGAAAGACCCCCCAGTCAGGACGCACGGGGCCGCACACCGGCCCCTCGCCTCTTGCCCCCGCCCTCTGGACCGTCGGATTTGTCGCTGGACCCGCCCCTCGTCTTTTCACTCTCGGGTTCTCTCCGGACCCGCTCCGCCGCAACCGACTTCCCAGACTCCGCAGCCTGGGATCACCTCCAGGGCCGCCCAGTCGTTCCCCGGTCCCTCCCCGCCTCCCCATTTGGGGAACCCCCCCATTTCTTCTTCGCCCCGCCCCTCCGGACCCCGCCCCTATGGCCACACCTTGAACTCAGCGATGGTGAGGCTGCGGCTGTACCGCTTCTCTGAGCGGAAGGTGTTGAGGGAGCTGCTGATGAAAACGGTCACCGTGGGTGCCGACACCCCCGTCACCTCCATCTTGCCGCGCCCTGCCGGGGCCTGCAGCGCGGTCGCTCCGCAGCCGCCACCGCCGCCGCTGCTGGGCTATCAGCCCCGCCTCCTGTTCCGGGCCTGACCAATCCGCGCTCTCCTGCCAGGAGCGTCCGCCAATCGCCCCCGTCCCTTCCCCACCGCCAGAAAGAGAGTTCTCCTTATTCCTAGGCTAGCCCAGCCAATCCAGAGAGGCCTTCCATAGTTCACGGTTCTTCCAATAGCGACCGGGAAAGGACCAGAGCAAGCGGCGAAGACTGAAGCCGGGAGGTAGAACTGGCAAGAGCTCTCTCAGTGCTCGAAGGGCAACTCGCGCATGCGCGCTGGCCTTCAGCCAAGTCAAGCGCCATGGCTTCTTTCCTGGGTGCTCAGCGTTTTGCGGCTTACAGTGCGCATCGTTTTCCTGGCTCTGGCACCCAGATCCATACTATTCTGTAAACTAAGGCGGCGATGCCCAAAAATTGGAAGCAATTACTCTAGGATATCAAAAGATTGACGCAAGCCATGAAACCTCCGCGCGGAGAGAGCCGCGCCCAAGGCCGCGGGGAGCCAGCACGTGTGCGCAGCTCCGCCCTCTTTTGGCGAAGCACCTAGGCCTGGCCCCTCCCGCGACCTGTAGCGCAGCGGAGCAAGCGCAGAAGGCTGGGCGGGCTGCGCGTCGCCATGGAGCCCGACGGGACCTACGAACCGGGCTTCGTGGGTATTCGCTTCTGCCAGGAATGGTGAGGCGGAGGGAGCGGGTGATGTTAGAAAGGGGGCGAGGAATGGCTCCAGGACTAACCCCTGGCACGTCCCCCTCCCCACAGTAACAACATGCTGTACCCCAAGGAAGACAAGGAGAACCGCATTCTGCTATACGCGGTGAGCGCTCGGGTCTTCCCCGTCCGGTCCACACAAGTGGCCCCGCCCTGCCCCCTGCCTCTGTGACCGGACTCCCTATTCGTCCCCCGCTGCACCCCAAGTGATCCTGACTCTCCTGCCCATCCCCAAAGACAGTCCTGTCGTCATACCCTCCGGGATCACCCTGCCCTCTCCTCCAAGTCTTATCTGGAATCCCGCCATGACCCCCTTACCCCCACACTCGCCCTCTGGCAGTGCCGGAACTGTGATTACCAGCAGGAGGCCGACAACAGCTGCATCTATGTCAACAAGATCACGCACGAAGTGGAGTGAGTGGCGGGCCCTGAGCTGGGGGCGGGGGTGTTGGCTCTGGAGGCTGGGTCGGAGAGTCATTTTGCACCCCCGCGTGCCTGCAGCGAACTGACCCAGATTATCGCCGACGTGTCCCAGGACCCCACGTTGCCGCGGACCGAGGACCACCCGTGCCAAAAGTGAGCGCTCAGCTGGTACTGGGGAGGTAAAGTGAGGCTCGTTCTCACTGGGCGAAGGGAGGAGGGAAGGTTGCCAAGCTTCCAGTGACCGAGCTCCCACCCCCTCAGGTGTGGCCATAAGGAGGCTGTGTTCTTCCAGTCACACAGTGCCCGGGCCGAGGTAAGTGGCACGAGGGCTTCTTAAGTATCTGGGGCTTGTTTGGTCCTTCCCGGGGGCGGGGATATCAATATGGGTGACCCAGCGCTTCTTGGAACTCTGGGCCGGACCCTTACGTATTGGTGAAGTTCTCTTGCCTGTTCTTTTGGGGTGAGGCGCTGCTGGGTCCAAACCCTTCCTAACCATGCATCATTTATGCCAGGACGCCATGCGCCTGTACTACGTGTGCACAGCCCCACACTGTGGCCACCGCTGGACCGAGTGACCTTCCCTCTCCCCCGAGTGTAATAAACACCAGATTCCATGCGTGAGTTTCCTGTGTTTATTTGCCTCGTGGGGAGGACGCTGGCACACCGTATCAGGCTGCGCGGTGCAGGGCGCGGTGCTGTGCGTAGGTGTCTGGCCGGGAGCTGGTGAAGCCGCAGTCCTCGCACACATGCAGCTTCTCACGACGCTCGCGGTAAGCGTAGCTGGCCGGCTGCCCGTGCACCTTAGCAAGGTGAGCTTCCAGGGAGCAGCGCTGCGTAAACGCCTTCCCGCAAGCACTACAGCGGAAGGGCCGGATCCCTGCACAGATGGGCGCAGAGGGGAGGGCTGGACAGAGAGGGCAATGGGCTCTGGACTAAAGCGCCCCTACCCTGCTTTCCAGCCTTGAGCATTTGCGGTCCCTATTCCAAACTCTTCAGACTCTTCCACCCATGACGCACCATCTGCTACCCTCACCCCGTGCAGACATGGGCCAGACACCTTTGTCCCCACCCTCCCTCACCAGGATGCTCTGTCCCCTGGGGGATGGAGAGGGAGGCCTTCCCTTGCCCTTCGATCTGGAGCCTGAATCGTATAACCGGCATCTGTCTGCACTCTGCATCCCTTAACAGGCCCCTATTTTCCTGCCACCTTACACCCACCCACTGGGGTCCGAAAGACATCATGTCTCGATTCCCCATACCCCACATACACAAACCCCGGACTCTCCACAGCCCAGCACCTCTCTCCATTTCCTTCCATCCCCACCTGGGGCCCAGCAACTTTTCCCTGTCCCTGCCACTGCTCACCAGTGTGAGTCCTCATGTGGCGCTTGAGATCGAAAGCGTCATGAAAGCCCTTGCCACAACAGCGGCACAGGTGGCGGCGCACGGGGCTGTGGCACTTGAGGTGCCTTGTCAGCATGCGCTGCAGAGGGAAGGCCTTAGGGCAGAGCGGGCAGCCCAGCGTCCCTGGGCCCCTGGGAGCAGAGGTCAGGTTGTCCTGTGTGGGCTGCTGGAGGGATGCAAGAGTTATTAGCCCCTCTGGCTGGACCCCACCCACCCTTTGTTACTCTGCAAATGAGTATTTACAGAGTGCCCGGAGCCACCATGGAAGATTAGGAAGGCAGGTGGGAGACAGTGATTAGTGTGTGTACCTGTCACTCTCCAGGGCCTTCCCTCACCATCCCATGGCCCTTACTTTCTCTATGCCAATCCCATCTTCTGATGTGACATACCCTTTTTTTTTCCTTTCTTTTTTTAAAGACAGAGTCTTGCTGTGTCTCCCAGGCTGGAGTGCAGTGGTACGATCTCAGCTCACTGCAACCTCTGCCTTCCGGGTTCAAGCGATTCTGGTGCTTCAGCCTCCCCATGATTACACGATTACACGATTATAGGCATGCACCACCATGCCCAGTTAATTTTTGTATTTTTTGTGGAGTTGGGGTTTCACCATGTTGACCAGGCTGGTCTCGAATTCCTGACCTCAAGCAATCCACCTGCCTTGGCCTCACAAAGTGCTGGGATTACAGGCGTGAGCCACTATGCCCGGTCTACTTTTCTAATTTTACTGGGGTTTTTTTTGTTTGTTTTTGAGATGGAGTCTCGGTCTGTTTCCCAGGCTGGAGTGCAGTGGTGCAATCTCGGCTCACTGCAACCTCTGCCTCCTAGGTTCAATTGATTCTCCTGCCTCAGCCTTCTGAGAAGCTGGGATTACAGGCGCGTGCCACCATGCCTGGCTTTTTTTTTTTTTTTCTTTAGACAGAATCTCGCTCTGTCACCCAGGCTGGAGTGCAGTGGTGTAATCTCAGTTCACAACAACTGCTGCCTCCCAGGTTCAAGCGATTCTCCTGCCTCAGTCTCTCAAGTAGCTGAGATTACAGGGACGTGCCACCATGTCTGGCTAGTTTTTGTAATTTTAGTAGAGATGAGGTTTCAACCCGTTGGCCAGGCTGGTCTCGAACTCATGACCTCAAGTGATCCACCTGCTTCGGCCTCCCAAAGTGCTGGAATTACAGGCTGGCTAATTTTATTGTCTATACTTGCAGCCCCCAACCAGAATATAAGCTCCTTAAAATTGTGGATTTTTGTCTTATTCCCGCTGAATATAACGGCCCATCCCTAGAACAGTGCCTGGCTTTCATGAACATACTACATTCCAGCTGGCGCTTTCCTTCCTCCAATGCATGCACAGCTGAAATAGCCCTTATCTCCCATCGCACTCCTGTTGTCCCATGTTCTGACATAAAGCGGTTCATCCACATGTGGGGTTGAATCTTGTTCTGCCCCGCTGGACAGAGAGATCCCTGTGGCTGCCGGCCCTGGTGCCTGGGGTGGGACCTAACGGTAGAGAGCTCACTACTGGGAAAGGAGAGGCATTCCCAACAGAGAGAAGTAGGGGCAGACAGGTCCAGAGGCTGGAGGGCGTGTGCAGATGGGCCTGGGGAGCAAGGGACTGTCAGCTTCATTAAGGCTGAGAGCAGGCAGGAGCGAAACAGCTGATTTTGCTGGCCAGCTACACACTCACCGCTGTCCATGGATCCCTGACACTGGACGACTGTTGTGCCGGTGGCCTCCTCAGGCTGCTGCAGTCTGAGGAGAGAAGCCAGATGGTGACGCTTTGCGTCTCTCCTGCCCCTTACCTCCAGGCATGGTGAGGGGCCCACCTGGGATATAGGCATCTCCCCGGAGCTGGTCAGGCAGGTGGCTCCAGTTGGGAGGCTGTGGACGCCGACTCCTGACCAGGAAGGCGCGGGGCATGCCCTCCGGAAGGCTCTCCACACACAGGGGCTGCCTCCACCTGCTGTCAGACCTCAGCCCCAGGATGACTATCCCTGGTGGGAAAGGAGGGGAAGCCTCTGAGGAACCTCATTCTCTTCATGCAAATTTCCTGACTGTCCCTGGGAGTGGACTAAGCTGGCTCGGGTTACCCCTGCCCAGGGACCTGCCCATCTTCTCCCAGGTTTTGGAGGTAACCGTCTAGCTTCCAGGGTTGGACAAGCACTAGGACCACCAAGCAGGGCCAGGCAAGGGGAGATGGGCCTGGGGAGCTTTTGGGCATAGGAAGAGGGAACAAGGCTCCAGGGGGGTTGAGTGTCTCCCAGGGGTTGAGGGTCTGTTTGCCAGGCAAATCAGTCACCAGGGGACATCCAGCAGCCTGCCTGGTTATTCAAATCACAGCAGCTGTCTGAGGACACTGAAGGGCCCCTCTGCTGTGATTGCCCTGCTCTGTAGGGTGCAGGGAGGACAGCAGATCTGGATAAATCAGGGCAAAATGAGGATCCAGGCTGTGCATCCTCAGGCAGGATGCCCCACCTCTCTGATCTTCAGATTCCCAGGGCTAACATTCAGCCAGAAGCACTGTTCAGGTGTAGCAGGCACTAAAATACTAATTTGTTAATAATCTAGACCCTAGTGACTGCCTGGGACAACACTCTCCCTCCCTCCCACAGTCTGGAAAGTAAAAGGGGGTCTCTCTTTTTTTGTTTTTGAGATGGAGTTTCACTTTTGTCACCCAGGCTGGAGTGCAGTGTGGCACCATCTTGGCTCACTGGAACCTCCACCTCCCGGGTTCAAACGATTCTCCTGCCTCAGCCTCCCAAGTAACTGGGACTACAGGCATGCACCACCACGCCTGGCTAATTTTTGTATTTTTGGTAGAGACAGAGTTTCACCATGTTGGCCAGGCTGGTCCTGAACTCCTGACCTCAAGTGATCCTCCTGCCTCAGCCTCCCAAAGTGCTGGGATTACAGGCATGAGTCACTGCACCTGGCCCAAAGGGGGTCTCTTGACACAGCCAGGGGCTCCCAGGACCCTACCCCGACACACTGGCCAAGCTCTGTTCTACATTTGATTCTTAGCCAAAAGGCCAAGAAGCAATCTAAGCTCTGTCTTTTAAATTTTTTTTTTTTTTTTTTTTTTTTTTTTTTTTTTTTTTTTTGAGACGGAGTCTTGCTCTGTCACCCAGGCTGGAGTGCAGTGGCCGGATCTCAGCTCACTGCAAGCTCCGCCTCCCGGGTTCACGCCATTCTCCTGCCTCAGCCTCCCGAGTAGCTGGGAGGACAGGCGCCCGCCACCTCGCCTGGCTAGTTTTTTTTTTTTGTATTTTTTAGTAGAGACGGGGTTTCACCGTGTTAGCCAGGATGGTCTCGATCTCCTGACCTCGTGATCCGCCCGTCTCGGCCTCCCAAAGTGCTGGGATTACAGGCTTGAGCCACCGCGCCCGGCCCTGTCTTTTAAATTTTAATTTTTGTTTTCGAGGCGGAGTCTCGCTCTGTTGCCCAGGCTGGAGTGCAGTGGTGTGATCTCCACTCACTGCAGCCTCTGCCTCCTGGGTTCAAGTGATTTCTGCTGCCTCAGCCTCCCAAGTAGTTGGGACTACAGGTGTGCACCACCTGCCCAGCTAATTTTTGTATTTTTAGTAGAGACGGGGTTTAACCATGTTGGCCAGGCTGGTCTCAAACTCCTGACCTCGAGTGATCCACCTGCCTCAGCCTCCCAAAGTGCTGGGATTACAGGCATGAGCCGCCACACCTGGCCAACTCAACAATTTTCTAAGCTCCAGACCTAGCTTATTGAAAATGATCACATAAGTCCATGAAGGAGGCACGCCAGTGTCAGCCCAGAATGACCAAGACAGTGAGAGGCAAGTGAGGCAGGGACCCAGCCATGACAGGGTAAAGAGGGGTACCGGGGGACCCGGACAGGCTCCTGATCCAGCCTACCGGAGCAGGGATGGCTTCCTGGATAAGCCCTGAAAGGTTTCAGGTGAAAGGGGAGGGTGTTCTAGTCAGAAGGGGACATCTGTACAAGACTTGCTGGTGAGAGTGTTTCTTCATTTCTTCCCATTGCCTGAGAGTCGGTTGTGCCAATTCATTTGGGGAAGCCAGGGTGGCAGTGCTGAGGGTCTGCTGGCCACTCATTGCCACTTGCTCTCTGGAGGACCCAGAGCAAGTGACTTCTTATTGGGCCTTGGTTTCTTCATCTGGAAAATGAGACTAAGGAGTTCCCTCTTCCCGGTTTGTATTGAAGATCCAGGTAGCTCACATGGAGACAATGCTTAGCATGGGGCCTGCCATGTGGCAGACATATAAGCAGTGCTTGGTTAGGAAGGCTTTTTTTTTTTTTTTTTTTTTTTTTTTTTTTTGAGACAGGGCCTTGCTTTGTCACCCAGGCTGGAGTGCAGTGAACACAGCTCACTGCAGCCTTGAGCTCCTGGGCTCAAGTGATCCTGCCACATCAACCTCCCAAGTAGCTGGGACTACAGGCATGCATCACCACACCTAGCTAATTTTAAAATTTTTTGTAGAGGCAGAGTCTTGCTGTGTTGCCTAGCGCTGGTCTCAAAATCCTGAGCTCAAACTGTCTGCCTGCCTTGGCCTCCCAAAGTGTTGGGATTACAGGAGTGAGCCACCGCATCCCGCTGAGGAACCCCTCCTATGGGCAAGCATCCAGGCCTCAGTTGGGTCATCTGCAAAATGGGGTTTCAGGTGGTGTCTCCATTTTGCAATTGTTGGCTTTCCTGCAGCCCTGACTGGGATGCCTGGCACAGGCCTGAGAGCTCAGGACCCAGGAGCTGTCTTGATGGTATTGCTATGGGGAGGCCAAGGGTAGATGTGGGGGTACAAGCAGGGGGAGAGTTGCAGTGAAAGATGAACTGTTTTCCTTCCAGGGACCCAGTTCTCCAGGAACCCTCTCAGTCCTGTTCTGCCCTGCTCCGTGGCCTAGGAGGTGGACTGGGAGGCGGGGTCACCTGGGCTTCTATGCAGTCTGGCTTCCAGTAGGATTTGGACAATGGGGTGCCCTGCAGGGGGTGAGTAAGGTCAGGGTGTTGATTCTCACTCCCTCCTGTGTGGGAGTCAGGGCCACAGTTCCCTCAGCACTACCCTCTCCCTGGGATTTGCCCTTTTGAGTTCTTTTTCCTTCTGTTTGTACCTTGTGGCCTGGGGGTGGTAACAGTTCCCGTGGTGCCAGTCCTGGGGTTCTGCACCAGTCCCGGTGGTTTCCCAGTCCCTGCTGCTCCTTTGCAAACGATCCCTTGGTTAAACTCTTTGGAATATCCCATCTAAGCATGCTGTCATCTTCCTGCTGGGACCCTGTCAACTCCCAAACCGCAGGCACACACACTCCACCACTGGCAATGGCTTCTTAACCAGGTGGTTTGTCCGAGGAGAAAGTATGGTCCTTCCAGGACAGAGGCTGGCATTTGGAAGAGGGAAGTGGCAGACATGCTGGATCCTCTCTGATTACCAGCCCACTTGCCTTTCTTGCTGAGAGAACCTCTTTGTTTGAGCCGCAACATGCCCAGGACAGGAGAGATGGTCCAAGCACATCAAAGCAATCTCCATTCCTGTTGCCTGGGACGCATCTGACCCCAGATGAAGACTCCCAGGAGACCCCTGGGAGACATCTGCATTTCTTTTCTGCTGCCCTAGAGGGCGCCCTGCTCTGTGCCTTTGCTCCTGGTTGGACCAGGCCACCCAGCAGCTGGGACCAATAACTTGGGCCTCTGACCCTCATGGAATTACCCTTCCTTCCAATCTGTATCATAGTAGAGCCTTCCACTCCAAGGAGTAAACGTCTGGAGCCCAAGCTGGAGGGACGTTGGTTACTCTTGATGTCATTGTGCACCTGGCCTCTTCCTCTCCTGCTGTCACCCTCTGTGAGCCCCCTGCACTCCACCTCTAACCTCAGTCTCCCCATAGCAGTACTATCGGGACAGCTCCTAGGTCCTGCGCTTCCAGGCCTGTGCCAGGCCCCCCAGTCAGGGCTGCAGGAAAGCCAACAATTGCAAAATGGAGACACCACCTGAGGGTGTGCTGCTTGGTGCCACAGCAGCCGTGTTGCAACCATGAGGCCATAAGCTGGAGACTGAAGCTTGCTCACAGAGGATGATAGAGCAGGCGAGGAAGAGGCCAGGTGCATGATGACATCAAGGGTAACCAACATCCCTCCATCTTGGGCCCTGAAAGCCAGGCGTTTACTCCTTGGAGCGGAAGGCTTTACTATGATACAGGTTGGAAGGAAGGGTGATTCCATGAGCGACAGAGGCCCAAGGTGGTCTCCTGGGTGTCCGGGGTGTAGGGGGCTGGACACCAAGCTTTGCCCAGGGATGTTGGGCAAGGTTTTGGGCAATGGTGGCCGAACTAGGCAGGTGGGCCTGGGCCTAGGCAGGTGGTCCAAGTTCTGGACCACCTGGACTCCCTGAGGCAAGGAGTCGTGAGAAATAAGCAACACTGGACATTCCCCCAAACATTAAGAGCAGAGATTTAGAAACAAACCCCAAAAAACAAAACACTGTTCTGGATGTTTCTTGGACTTAAATGTCATGAAGCAACAAGGCCCTGCCTGGTGGGGCCCTGCTCCTCCTCACACCTCATCTCCTGCCCTCCCATTGCTCACTCCATTCGAGCTGTCCTGGCTTTGCCCCTCTTCCTTCCACACAGATCACGTGTGGCTGTCCCTGGGCCCGTGCACTGACTGTGCTGTCAGCCTGGACATGTTCCTGATATGTCCTCTATCAAGCTTCAGCCCAAATGTCACCTCGGAAAGGCCTTCCCTGACCCTTCACCAGCAATGGATTTCCCCAGCCTACCTAGAATTACGCAGAGCTCTAATTCCTGCATCTGTTTCCCTGTATAGAAGGTAGGTGGCCATGAAGGCAGGTGAAACGCCTGATGTTCCTTCCATTACAGTGCCCGGCACCTGGGTGCGAACTGGCAGGATTTTTTTTTTTTTTGAGACTTGCTCTGTCACCCAGGCTGGAGTATAATGATGGCGTGATCTCAGCTCACTGCAACCTCTGCCTCCTGGGTTCGAGCGATTCTCCTGCCTCAACCTCCTGAGTAGCTGGGACTACACGTGTGCACCACCACACCCCAGCTAAGTTTTGTATTTTTGGGGTTTCGCCACATTGGCCAGACTGATCTCGAACTCCTGACCTCAGATCCGCCCATGTTGGCCTCCCAAAGTGTTCGGATTACAGGCGTAAGCCACTGCGCCCGGCAGAATGTTTTGAACTGCAAGATTGGTCCTGATGTGTGTCATGTCATGGAAACAGAGAACCATGTCCTCGTGTTGAAGGGTCCAGCTCTGCCACCAGGCAAATTTAGGTGAGTCTCAGCTGTGTGAGCCTGGTCGAGCAGGGAAGTGCTCAGAGCATGGCGGGGGGGTGGGGTTTAGGCAAGCCCCTGCTGGCTTCCTTCCTATAGTGACTTGGGACATTGGGAATGTCTGTGTTTATAAGAGTGGCTTTTTTTTTTTTTTTTTTTGAGATGTAGTTTTGCTCGTCACCCAGGCTGCAGTACAATGGTGCAATTCTGGCTCACTGCAACCCCCGCCCCTCCCAGGTTTAAGCGAGTCTCCTTGACTCAGCCACCCAAGTAGCCAGGATTACAGGCGCCCGCCACCACACCTGACTAATTTTTGTATTTTTAGTAGAGACGGGGTTTCACCATGTTGGCCAGGCTGGTCTAGAACTCATGACCTCAGGTGATCCACCCACCTCGGCTTCCCAAAGTGCTGGGATTACAGGCGTGAGCCACCGCACACAGCCAAGAGTGGCTTTTTTAGCAGACACTCCATGTGGTCAGATGCCTGCTGCCTGGGGTAGCTGGTAACAGTGCCAGGAGCTCATGGAATGTAGAACTCCTGAAGGGGAAGCAGTTATCGGTCCCAGCTGCTGGTGGCCTGGGCCTGCTGCCAGATCATACAGTGGGCAAGCCTGCCTGGGTTTCTTGTTTTACTGTTTTGTTTAAAGAGACGGGGTTTTGGCCAGGTGCAGTGGCTCACGCCTGTAATCCCAGCACTTTGGGAGGCCGAGGTGGGTATATCACCCAAGGTCAGGAGTTCGAGACCAGTCTGGCCAACATGGCAAAACCCCATCTCTACTAAAAATACAAAAATCAGCTGGGTATGGTGGTGGGCGCCTGTAATCCCAGCTACTTGGGAGGCTAAGGCAGGAGAATCGCTTGAACCTGGGAGGCAGAGTTTGCAGTGAGCCGAGATCACACCACTGCACTCAAGCCTGGGTGACAGAGCAAGATTCCATCTCAAAAACAAAAATAAATAAATAAATAAATGGGGTTTCACCAAGTTTCCCAGGCTGGTCTCAAACTCCTGGCCTCAAGCGATCCTCCCACCTCAGCCTCCTGAGTAGCCAGGATTGTAAGTGCAGGCCACCATACCCAGCTTGGGCAAGCCTGTTCATGGGTCCTCAGTTTCCCCTGTTGCAGATGGGGACACCACCACCCTGGACCTTGTGGGATCTACTGTGGCCTTGGCCCAGAGGCCCCGAGCTGTGATGTGGCAAAGCATGGGCTGCTGGGCAAGGTAGGCATATGGTGATCACAGCAGCCCCAGTTAATTCTCAGGCACTGGCAGGGGGCAGGTAAGAGGGAGGGGCTGGCTCCTCCCTGGGGCACAACTGGGCCCCACTGGGTAAGCACCCCACACTGGTCTGCGGCAGCTCTGTGGGCAGTGTGGGAGGACTGGCCCTGACCATGGCTGCAGTTCCTGAACTTCTTGGGAATGCTGGTCCCATGCTCTCCACTGACAGACACAGGTCCTCTGGGCATCACCCTCTACCCTCTCTCCCTGCTTCCACCTGAAGAGGGCTTTGTGGATAGGCCCAAATAGACACCAGGAACCATTCCTCCAAGCTGTCAGTTTATTCGCTTAAAATACCTAAGTCCTTAGAAGCAGCAGGGCTGCGGTGGAGGGGCTGCACCCTCAGTGTCCCCGTGCCTTCCTCCGCACAGCCTGCACCAGCAGCTCCGAGTAGTGTTCCAGCAGGGCCTGCAGGTCTGGGCTGGCCAGAGGGCACAGCGTCGGTGGGGAGGGGGGTCCTGGGCTGGGCAGGGTCTGGGCTGGGGCCACACTGGTCCCCACCAAGCATTCGGCCTCCAGCTGACTGTGGATCCACAGGAAAGTGGAGACCAGCTCAGTCCGTGCCTGCTGCTGCCTGGTGTCCACCTGGCCACTGGAGATCACCTGCAAGGGATGCCAGCCTTGTCAGGGGCCAACAAGGCCAGGCGGTCCCAAGAGACCCCTCAACCCTTTCCCGACTCTGGGGTTTGGCTCACCACACGGTAAAGGTCGAGGGCTTCTTGGAAAGTGGTCTGCAGCCTGTGCAAGATGTTCCCCACCCTGTTCAGCTCAAGGGGGGATGGGGGCAGAGCTTCAGCCGGCACCCAGGGCTCACTCCAGTGGGCAGGGCTGCCCTGGAATAGACCGAGTGCACCTGAGGTAGAGAGGAGGCAATGAACAAGACGAGCTGCATTCCATTGGTGTGAGCTGCCAGGATGGCTGGGTGGACTCCATGCTGTCCTTCTGTCTGGAACTCTTCTCTGGGTCCCCAAGGCTCCCTCCCCTTCCCTCCCACAGGTCTCTGCTCCAATGCAGCCTCCTCCCTGAAGCCTCTTCTCATCCTCTGGTTTGTAATCCAACCCATCCCCACCCTGCACTCCCTCGCCCTCCTCTGTCCCTCCTGAGCATGTGTCACTTCGTGATACATATGACAGGTTCCGTAAAGGTTCAGTCTGGGCATTGCCCCCAGTGAAGATGTCAATTCTCTGTTTTGTCTACCACCATGTCCCATGTCCCAGGGTCTAGCACAAACCCCAACATGTAATGCTTATTAAATATTTAAGTTAGTGAACAAATGAATGAATGGCACAGTTCCTGTGGGCAGGTCAAGTGTCCATTTTTGAAGCTGAGCCAACTAGCACACAGGATGAACTTAGGGGACAGTCCTTGCTCCAGGGCTGTACTCACCAGAGGTGGGCTCCAGGAGGGAGGCAGTGCCGCCAGGGACGCCAGTCCCGGCCTCTGGAAGCTGGGGGCTACTGGGGTGGGCAGGAAGGCCAGGGGACTCAGGAGCTGGGAGACTTGGGCGAAAGGCAGAGCCATGGAGCCTCAGGGTGCTCTCGTCCACGGGGCTAGGGGCTGGGAAGCTCACTGCTGGGATGGTGACGCCAGGCTGGGCATCCACGGGGGGCAGCAGGAGCCCGTTACAGACACTTGACAGGGTCAGTCTAAGGTTGGCCCGGGCCTCGTGGTTGCCCCAGGAATGCAGGGCAGGCTCTTGGCCCTCGCTGCCCAAATTGGGTGTTGCTGCAGCGGTGATGGCCTGAAGCTCCTGGCCCAGAGAGGCCAGCTCCCCAACAGACGATGGCCTACGGAGGGGCTGGGCCAGCGTGGCCACGATAGGGCCCTCGCTGTCACCAACGGAGATGCTGCGTGATATCCTGGCATGGGAGCTGGCAGTGGCCTCCATGTAGGAACAGGTGGAGGGGGTGTGGACACCCTGAGCCAGGCCTGGGGTGGACGCAGATGTGGGCGTTGGGAGCTTCCTGTCCGTGGGCAGCACGGAGGAGGCAGGGACACAGGACGCCAGGCTTGTAAGGCAGGGGGCTGTAACGAAAGCAGATGGCACTGACTCCCCCACACAGAGCTGACGGCTAGGGCCCCCCTGGCCCCACAGCTCAGCTGGACATCCAGCCACTTGCAGAGAAACCCAGGGTTGTCCGTCTGGGAGTGGGGCACTCACGTGGTGGGTGCCAGGCCTCCAGGGTCTCTTCAGCCTTCCCTGCAGCGAGGACCTGCAGGCACAGCTCTGAGGTGAGGACAAGACCTCGGGGTTCCCAGCCCCGTGCCCTGAGGGAGGTGGCTCTAACACTCACGTGGGTCCTGTCTGGAGAGGCATAGCCAGTATCTGCTCTGGGCTGGCTTCCAACTTGGTCCATGGGCTTGACCTCTGGAGACTTCATGAGGTGCTGGGTTGCCCGGGGAGGGAGGGTGTGGGTGAACCTGTAGGAAGGAGAGCAGGGGGAATGATTCTCATTCAGCCTGCTCCAGGGCAGTCAAGGAGCCAGAGGCTGGGCTGTGCTTGGCCAGCTTCTACCTGGATGCCTTCTGGAGGCTTGAGAGGAACTGCGTGGAGATGCTCAGGCGTGGGTTGAAGAAGTACTCCTCAGCTTCAGAGGCCTCCACGTCTCCCAGAGCTGCGGGGAAGAGCTCTAGGGGAACATCCCGAGGTGACCCTCATAACCCTTCCCGCCAAGCAGCCCCAGCCCCAGGCCGGCCAATAGCCCAGCGGGGCAATCCCCAGAAACCCTTACGTGCAGACACAGGGTACAAGCAGGGGCAGTGGGCGAGGAGGCATCGTGAGGCTTAGGTCAAGAGTGAAGCAGCAGGCCGGGCACGGTGGCTCACAACTATAATCCCAGCACTTTGGGAGGCCAAGGCGGGTGGGTCACCTGAGGCCAGGAGTTCGAGACCAGTCTGGCCAACATGGTGAAACCTCGTCTCTACTAAAAATACAAAAAATCAGCAAGGCTTGGTGGTGTGCGCCTGTAATCCCAGCTACTCGGGAGGCTGAGGCAGGAGAATCGCTTGAACCGGGGAGTTGGAGGTTGCAGTGAGCCGAGATTGCGCCACTGCACTCCAGCCTGGGCAACAGAGTGAGACTCCGTCTCAAAAAAAAAAAAAAGGAGCAGGTGTTCTCCACTCACCCTCCTGGCCCTGCTGGGGAGCCGACTCCAGGGACACCAATGCTGTGCCCAGGCTGCACAGACGGCCTTGGCAGGTGCGGGTGAGGCAGGGTCCTACCTCTGCAGGGGGACTCAGTCAGTGTCTCGAAATGGTGGCGGAGGAACTTCTCCTGCTCCGGAGTCTGGGGTAGGGAGCTGCTGGGGACGCTGGGTCCCTCGGGCAGGGACAGCTCATCTTCTGTGGGACCTGCGCATCCTGACAGGGAAGGAGGGGAGGGACAAGAGGAGCCAACACCATGAGTCACAGCAGATGCCACCTGAAATGGAGAAAGCAGGCCCCACCCATCCCTGCCCTGTTGCCTGCAGGCTGAGAAGCAGGGATCCCCATCTTCCAGGCTCAGTGGGCTCCAAGTGCAGGGCCTGTGCTTAAACACTGTGACTGGCCCTAAGCCAGGCCCGAGCAGCGAGTCCCCTGTGTGTCTGGCCCCTGCTTACCTGGGAAATGGGGCAGCAACGTGGCAAACCGAGGGGCGGGGTCAGGAGGCAGAGCTGGGGAGTGGACCGCCGCAAAGCTGCACTCCAAGTCGGCCTCTGATTCCCCCGAGTCTGAAGGAGAGAGTTGGGGTCAGGAGCCCACAGCCTGACCATTCAGGTGAGCCAGGGCCAGGGCTATGCTTTCCTGGGCTCAGTTTCCCCATCTGGAGGAGGGATGATAAGAGCACCCACCCACCATTTTATGAATGAGGGAAGTTCCACATCAAGGAGGTGGCAGAGCTGGGCTCTCAGCTGTAGGCAGCTGGGCCCAGAATCCTCAGGCAGCAGCAGGGACCACATGTGTCTTCCTCGACAGACTCTGAGCTTCAGTACTGGGTCAAAGTCACCATCGGTGCCCAGAAAGGGGCCTGGCTGAACGCACAGACTGTCATAGGGTCCCTGCCTTTCCTGCACTCACCCTCAGGCGGGCTCTGGTCCTTTGGGCTGTCGGAGGACACCCTGAGGTAGGAGTCGCCCTGCTGGTCTCCAGGCCTGGCCTCCACCTCCTTCCCACAATACTGGCTGCAGTGCCAGTGGGGGCAGAGAGGGAACAAGGACTTCAGCTGGAGACTCAATAGCCAGCCCCACCTGGAGCCCCTAGGCACCCGTACCCGCTGCTCCTGCAGGAGCACTGCCTCAGCCTCCCTGCCTCCTCCAAATGTCCCCTCCTTCCCCCAGGTCAGGCCCTCCTGTACCCCACCTGAAACCAAGGAACTAAGGCTGGGCTCCTGCCCCATCCAGGCCACAACTGTCCCCACTCCCACAAGCCCACTGGGAAGGCAAAGAACAGTTCCTCCAGGGTGCAGCTATCAGCTGGGGCTTCCTCCAACTAAAGCTCCCTTGGTAGAAAGGACACCCACCTGTCTGTCCCTGTGAGTGTCACTTCTGCCTCCAGAGAGTAGAGGATGAGCTCACTGGCCTCAGATGATTCCCTCTGTTGGGGGAGGAAGGAGGGGTGCCCGCGGCCAGCTTCCTGAGGACTCTCTGACTATGGGGAAGACAGCACAGCCATTCTGAAGCAGCCATGGCTGGGGCCACTGTTATGCCAGGAACCATGGCTGGCTGCTGGAGGCTGTGACCCAGGGCCTGTGCCACGCACTCTGCTCACACCCAGCTTGTCCTGGGCTGCCCCTGCATTATCAGTCCCTTTATAGATGAGGAAGAGGTGTGGCACCAAAAATAGGAGGTCCAATCCTCTACATGTCTATTTATATGAAGTTCAATAATAGGAAACCCAGTCCCTGGTTAGAGGTCAGAATACTGGTTATCCTGGTGCAGGGACCTGACTGGGAGGGGCAGAAACCTTCTAGGAGGTAGAATACACTCCAGATTTTACCCAGGGTACTGGACACATATGAATTACACAGATAGTTCATCAACCTGTATACCTAAAATCTGTGCATGTTACTGGATGTATATTATACCCCAATAAAGATGACAAATTATAGGATAGGATAAAAAGGAATTTTGTTTGGAAAATAGTAGAGTAAGAGCTAAAGTTGCACAGGTACCTCTAAGAGCCTAGGCCCTATGCTTAAGCATGGATTCCTGTAAAAGCCCTCTGGGGCAGAAGAGATTGTTATTACCATTTAAAAGTTTTTTTTTTTTTTTTTTAAGAAAAGAAAAAAAAATTTTTTAAAAATATTTTTGTAGAGGTGGGATTTTGCTATGTTGCCCAGGCTGGCCTTGAACTCAAGTGATCGTTAAGTAATCCTCCTGCCTTGGCCTCCCCAAATGCTGGGATTAGAGGTGTTAGTCACTGCCCCTGGCCCCATTATGACTACTTTTTAGACGACTGAAGCCCAGAGAGATAAGCCTCTTACTCAAGGTCACACAACAGGAATGTGTAGGGTCAGGGCTCCATCTACCCAAATGTCCCCCACTTGGGTACAAGCCTGCTCTAGCATCCAAGCTCTTAACCCCCAAGTGACTCACTTTCCAACAACTCCCTGTCTGCCCTGGGAAGTCTTGCTGTGCAACACTCCTGGGGCTCACCCTCCTACCCTTCACCACCTCATGTAATCCTCCCTGCCCCCAAGGAGTGGGAGTCAGCCTGAGGCGCCAGGCCCTGGGGCCGTCACAGTGCCAGGGCTATAGATCAGGCTGGGGTAGAAGTGCGTACCTCACTCAGCAGGCTGGCCAGGCTCTGTGGCTCCAGTGAATCCAGAATGGAGTTCTCCAGACTCTCAGGCTTCATGGGGGTAAAGTAGCAATCCAGGTCCTGGGCATCCAGGATGGTCTTGAGGGGCTCTTGGCCAGCCCGCTCTGCCCAACGGCCGTGGGGCTGGTAGCTGCGCTTGGCATGGAAGGCCGAGCCATCTGCCACATCATCGTCCCCTAGCTTGAAGGATATGGGACAGTCAGGCACCTGGCTGAGTGCTCACTCACTGCAGGGAGCGCCACAGACATTTCACACAGCCCATCCGGGCTCCTGGCTTTCAATACCATTCAGAAACAACTTCCAGGTACGTATCTCCAGCATGAACCTCTCTCTCTCTCTCTCTCTTTTTTTTTTTTTTTTTTGTTGTTGTTGTTTTTGAGATGAAGTCTTGCTCTGTCTCCTAGGCTGGAGTGCAGTGGTGTGACCTTGGCTCACTGCAACCTCCACCTCCCAGTTTCAAGCAATTCTCCTGTCTCAGCCTCCAGAGCAGCTAGGATTACAGGTGCCCACCACCACACCTGGCTAATTTTTGTATTTTTAGTAGAGATGGGGTTTTGCCATTTTGGCCAGGCTGGTCTCAAACTGCTGACCTTAAGTGATCCGCCCTCCTTGGCCCAAAGTGCAGGGATTACAGGCATGAGCCACTGTGCCCAGCCCATTTTGTTGGTTTTTGGTAGAGGTGGACTCTCACTATGTTGCCCAGGCTGGTCTCAAACCCCTGGGCTTAAGCAATCCTGCTTCAGCCTCCCAAAGTGCTGGGAATGCCCAGCTGGGATTCATGAACTTTTCTCTGAAACTTCAGAATTGCACATGCGATTGCTCTACATCTCTGTATGGATGTCTGGTAGGTATTTCAAAGTTAACATGCTGACAACTCAGCTCCTCATTTCCTCCACACAAACCTGCTCCTCCTAAAGCTTCCCTGTTTCAGTTGTTTTTTCCAGTTGTTCAGGCCCCAACCTTGGGATCATCCTTCATTCACCTCTCTTATTCTGTCTCTTATAATCCACATTGTCTTTGTTTTTTCTTTTTCTTTCTTTCCTTTTTTTTTGATACGGAGTCTCACTCTGTCGCTAGGTTGGAGGGCAGTGGCACGACGTCGGTTCACTGCAACCTCTGCCTCCTGGGTTCAAGTGATTCTCCTGCCTCAGTCTCCTGAGAAGTTGGGACTACAGGCACGCACCACCATGACCAGCTAATTTTTGTATTTTTAGTAGAGACCGGGTTTTACCATGTCGGCCAGGATGGTCTCAATCTCTTGACCTCGGATTACACCTGCCTCGGCCTCCCAAAGTGCCGGGATTACAGGCATGAGCGACAGCACTGGCCTCTTTTTTTTTTTTAAGAGACAAGGTTGGCCGGGCACGGTGGCTCAAGCCTGTAATCCCAGCACTTTGGGAGGCCGAGACGGGCGGATCACGAGGTCAGGAGACCATCTTGGCTAACACGGTGAAACCCCGTCTCTACTAAAAAATACAAAAATCTAGCTGGGCAAGGTGGCGGGCGCCTGTAGTCCCAGCTACTCGGGAGGCTGAGGCAGGAGAATGGCATAAACCCGGGAGGCGGAGCTTGCAGTGAGCTGAGATTCGGCCACTGCACTCCAGCCTGGGCGACAGAGCGAGACTCCGTCTCAAAAAAAAAAAAAAAAAAAAAAAAAAGAGATAAGGTCTTGCTCTGCTGTCCAAGCTGGAGTGCAGTAGCACAATTGCTGCAGCCTCCAACTCCTGGGCTGAAGCGATCCTCCTGCCTCAGGCCCCTGAGTAGCTGGGACTATGGATGTGCACCACCATGCCTGGCTATTTTTTTTTTTTTTTTTTTGAGATAGAGTCTTGCTCTGTTGCCCAGGCTGGAGTGCAGTGGCACGATCTCGGCTCACTGCAAGCTCCGCCTCCTGGGTTCATGCCATTCTCCTGCCTCAGCCTCCCGAGTAGCTGGGACTATAGGCGCCCACTGCCATGCCTGGCTAATTTTTTGTATTTTTAGTAGAGACAGGGTTTCACCGTATAAGCCAGGATGGTCTCGACCTCCTGACCTCATGATCCGCCCGCCTCAGCCTCCCAAAGTGCTAGGATTACAGGTGTGAGCCACCGTGCCCAGCCATGCCTGGCTATTTTTAATTTTTTTTGTAGAGATGGGGGTCTCATTATGTTGCCTAAGCTGGTCTTGAGCTCCTGGCGTTGTGGCCTTTACACATATAGGCTGTTATGACTAGAACATTCGTCCCAGTATCTGCCTGTCTCACTTGTTTCAACTCTGATCAAATATCATTTTCCCAATGAGGCCTTTCCTGTTTACTTAAAACTGCCACCCCCGGGCCGGGCGCGGTGGCTCAAGCCTGTAATCCCAGCACTTTGGGAGGCCGAGACGGGCGGATCACTAGGTCAGGAGATCGAGACCATCCTGGCTAACACGGTGAAACCCCGTCTCTACTAAAAAATACAAAAAAAAAAAAATAGCCGGGCGAGGTGGCGGGCGCCTGTAGTCCCAGCTACTCCGGAGGCTGAGGCAGGAGAATGGCGTAAACCCAGGAGGCGGAGCTTGCAGTGAGCTGAGATCTGGCCACTGCACCCCAGCTTGGGCGACAGAGCCAGACTCCGTCTCAAAAAAAACAAAACAAAACAAACAAACAAACAAAAACAAACTGCCACCCCCCAACACTCCTTATTTTCTCTATTTTTATTTTTTTTATGAGACAAGGTCTTGGCTCTGTGGCCCAGGCTGGAGTGCTGTGGTGCCATCTCAGTTCCCTACAGCCTCGACTTCCCTGGCCCAAGCAATCTTCCCACTTCAGCCTCCTGAGTAGCTGGGACTACAGGTATGCACCACCACGCCTGGCTAATTTTTAAATTTTTTGTAGAGATAGGGTCTCACTATGTTGCTCAGGCTGGTCTTGAACTCCTGGGCTCAAGCAATCTACCTGCTTTGGCCTCCCAAAGTGCTGGGATCACAGGTGTGAACCACCGTGCTGGGCCCCTGTTCTTATTCTCTTTTTTGAGACAGGATCTCACTCTGTTGCCTACGCTGGAGTCCAGTGGTGCCATCTCGGTTCCCTACAGCCTCAACCTCCTGGGCTCAAATGATACTCCCACCTCAGTCTCCTGAGTAGCTGGGACCACAGAGACGCATCATTGCACCTGGCTGACGTATTTTCCTTCTTGATTCTTTTTTTTTTTTTTTTTTTTTTTGAGACAGAGTCTGGCTCTGTTACCCAGGCTGGAGTGTAGTGGCCGGATCTCAGCTCACTGCAAGCTCTGCCTCCCGGGTTTACGCCATTCTCCTGCCTCAGCCTCCCGAGTAGCTGGGACTACAGGCGCCCGCCACCTTGCCTGGCTAGTTTTTTGTATGTTTTAGTAGAGACGGGGTTTCACCGGGTTAGCCAGGATGGTCTCGATCTCCTGACCTCGTGATCCGCCCGTCTCGGTCTCCCAAAGTGCTGGGATTACAGGCTTGAGCCACTGCGCCCAGCCTCCTTCTTGATTCTTTTCCCTCCACAGCACTTATCAGCACCCAACATACTACGTCACTTGCTTATTTAATGGGGACACTGTTCCTCACCCCCACAGGCAAGTGAGCCTGTGAAGGGAGAGGCTTTTGTTTCCCTTGTTCACTGTTGTGTCCCTGACATCCAGAACAATGCCTGGCACAGGGCACTGATCATGAACAAAGAGCTGTCTCACTGAGCCTGGAAGGATGACAGGGCTTCTCCAGAGAAAAGAGGGACATGGAAAGGAAAAAGGGCTTCCAGAAGGCAGAGCCGGGGAGGCGTTTCCTCTGCCAGCCCCTGAGCAACCCTCTCCCTGAAGACTTACCAGCCGCTTTGCCCACAGTGGCAGCTTGCCGTTGGTTAGCAGGCATCGAGGATCTGGAGAGAGACACACAGAATCCATGAAAAGAGGACAAACATCCTAACAAATAGGCCACATACATAACCGGGCAGTCCCCAAAGAGGCAACACCACAACCCAGAGGTCAGAAGGCTCAAGAGCACCGGCTGTCAGGGAAATGCAAACTTAAACCGTGGGACACGATATTTGACTCACAAGACTGACCGAGGTGACAAAGCTTAATACTACCAAAGGACGGCAGGAAAAGTGTGGGGACAATGGAGAGCCTAATGCAATGCAGCGTGGAGCAGTAACCGGGTTTGGAGAACTCTGGGGTTCTCTTTTTTTTTTTTCTTGAGACAGAGTCTTGCTCTGTCACCCAGGCTGGAGTGCGGTGGCGCAATCTCGGCTCACTGGAAGCTCCGCCTCCTGGGTTCATGCCATTCTCCTGTCTCAGCCTCCCAAGTAGCTGGGACTACAGGCGCCCACCACCATGCCCGGATATTTTTTTTTTTTTTTTTTTTGAGACGGAGTCTTGCTCTGTCGCCCAAGCTGGAGTACAGCGGCATGCTCTCGGCTCACTGCAAGCTCCGCCTCCTGTTCATGCCATTCTCCTGCCTCAGCCTCCCGAGTAGCTGGGACTACAGGCATCTGCCACCACATCTGGCTAATTTTTTGTATTTTCAGTAGAGACGGGGTTTCACCGTGTTAGCCAGGATGGTCTCGATCTCCTGACCTCATGATCCGCCCGCCTTGGCCTCCCAAAGTGCTGGGATTATAGGCGTGAGCCACCACGCCCGGCTGCCCAGCTAATTTTTTTTTTTTTTTTTTTTTTTTGTATTTTTAGTAGAGACGGGTTTCACTGTGTTAGCCAGGATGGTCTCAATCTCCTGACCTTGTGATCCGCCCACCTCAGCCTCCCAAAGTGCTAGGATTACAGGCATGTGCCATTGCACCTGGCTGGGGTTCTCTTTTAAAATAAAGGCCAGGCATACTGACTCAAGCCTGTAATCCCAGCACTTTGAGAGGTTAAGGTGGGAGGATACTTGAGGCCAGGAGTTCAAGACCAGCCTGGGCAACACAGTGAGACCTTTTCTCTACACACACTATCCCCTGACACACACATATTTAGTTGGGTGTGGTAGCTTGAGCCTGTGGTCCCAGCGACTCCACAGGCTGAGCAGGGAAAATTGCTTGAGCCCAGGAGGTCAAGGCTACAGTGAGCTATGATCGTGCTATTGCACTCCAACCTGGGCAACTAAAAAAGTGAAATAAAATAATAAAACAACTTTATAAAAGTAAAAATAACCCCCGGATCCAGCGGTGCTACTGCTCAGACTCTGTCCTGGAGAAATCCTCACATTTCGAGGAGGCCTAGGAGTAGTCTCCATCTCCACAGCCTCATTAACAGTGATGTGAAATCAAGAAACCTAAATGGCCACCTGCAGGGGAATAACTTAAAATTTCGGAGGCCTCTGCTTTGTATTCACCAATATTCAGGTAGATGAGAGACTTTGCAGAGGAGAAAGATTTCGGACAATATCCGCAACAAAATTCAATTTATTTTTACTTATTCATTTATTTTTTGAGACGGAGTCTTGCTTTGTCACCCAGGCTGGAGTGCAGTGGCACAATCTCAGCTCACTGCAACCTCCACTTCCCAGGTTCAATAATTCTCCTGTCTCAGTTTCCCAAGTAGCTGGGATTACTGGCGCACGCCATCACGCCCAGCTAATTTTTGTATTTTTAGCGGAGACGGGGTTTCACCATATTGGCCAGGCTGGTCTCGAACTCCTGACCTCAGGTGATCCACCTGCCTTGGCCTCCCAGGGTGCTGGGATTACAGGCGTGAGTCACCGCACCCAGCCTCAAATACATCTTTGATGCCTGATCAGGTGGTGTGAGTGGATGAAGCTGACTACAGTCTGCCCTCAGAAGTGATCACATGCTCAGATGTGGACAGCTACAGCAATTGGCTCAGAAGTGGGTACACCAGTCATACCAGGAACATAAGTCACACAACCCTAAGACTCTGCTTGAGCTACTATAGGAAAGAGGTGTTCTATTCTCTATGGAGTTTTATAAGCCTGTAGTTGCTGCGGGTATCTTTTCCCCTAGTAAAGGAAAAGTCTGTCTGTCAGCAAAGCCAACATGAAGAAAAGCAGAGCCAAAAGATACAAAAAAAAAATCTTCCTTTTATCATCTGTCTATCTGGATCCAGCCATGTTGAAAGCTAATCCTCTCCAATTTTCAGGCACCAAAAAATTCTCTTCCTGACTTAAGCCTGGTTGCTTTTATACTGAAAAGAGTCTTGACTGATATGGTTATTGAGTTTCTTTCTTTTTCTACAGACAGGGTCTCACTCTATTATTCAGGCTGGAGTGCAGTGGTGTGATCATAGCTCACTATAACCTGGAATTCCTGGGCTCAAGCAATCTCCTCAGCCTTCCAGGTAGCTGGCAATATAGGTGTGCACCACCAGGCCCAGCTAATTTTTTTCTTTTTGTAGGTACGGGGTCTTGGTATATGCCAGGCTGGTCTCAAACTCCTGGCCTCAAGTGATCCTCCTGCCTCAGCCTCCCATGTAGTTGGGACTACAGATGTGTGCCACTATGCCCGGCTAATTTCTTTTTTTAAATTTTTTTTTGCATAGATGGGCTCTCACTGTGTTACCTAGGCTGGTCTCGATCTCCTGGCCTCAAGTGACCCTCCCATTTCAGTCTCCCAAAGTGCTAAAATTCCAGGCGTGAGCCACCACACTAAGCCTTATTACTGAGTGTTATTTATTTTATTTACATTATTATTATTTTTGAGACACAGTCTTGCTCTGTCACCCAGGCTGGAGTGCAGTGGCACAGTGCCACTGCACAGTGGCTCACTGCAACCTCTGCCTCCCAGGTTCAAGCAGTTTTCCTGTCTCAGCCTTCCTAGTAGCTGTACTACGGTTGCACACGCCACCACGCCTGGCTAATTTTTGTATTTTTAGTTGAGACAGGGTTTCACCATATTGGTCAAGCTGGTCTGGAACTCCTGACCTCAGGTGATCCACCCACCTCGGCCTCCCAAAGTGCCGGGATTACAGGTGTGAGCCACCGCACCTGGTTGACTCCTGCGTTTTAATATGTATCAGGCCCTGTAAACAAAGTCATGGGCAAAACCCAGCAATGATTCCCTACACTGACATAGTTCAAAATAGGGCCCCTTTTCCAACCTGGATCCAAGCTGTCTTTGGATGGTGTCTTCAGCATCTCTTCTGGCTCACACTCTTCCTCCAGATCATCCTCTGTCTGCTCTCCAGGGCTCAGGGAGCGAATCTCACTAGGTGTGGACACATACGTATCCTGCCTAAAGCCAGGAATGAGGACGGTAAGGAGAGAATACAGGCAAATGGGCTGCTGGTGAGGACTTGCCTAGGGCCGGGCCCTGTGCTAAGCTCCATGTTAACATATTCTTGGCTGCTGGTCAAGATGGTGCTGGCAAGTCTCTCACTTGACACCGTCTCCCCACTAGAAACACATCACCACAATAGATGAGATTAACAAAGGCCAGACTACAAACGAACACAAACTCTCTCAGGGCCACAGCAATGGGACGGAAAGCCAAGCAGACAGTGGGACTGCAGTCCTGTGCTGGGCTCCCTGTAGGTGGCAGCAATGATGGTGGCTCCTCCCGAGCACAGGAAACTAAAACTCCCTTGGCATGAGGCAGGCACTGAAGCCAGCGCCCTGGTTCATAGCTTAGGGGTGGAGTGGGAGCCTCAAAACCAAGATGATACCTCTAATACCACCTCAGCACCTCAGGACCAGCGGCCCCTGTTAAGGCCTGGTCTCCACAGTGCCCTGGGAGCCACATGGAGCCAATGGCAAAAACAGACACACCCAGCAGCAGGAGAGAAGAAAAACCAAAAAACCTCCCACTCAAAATGAGCAACACCCAAACCAAAACCTCAAATCAAAAACTAGAACATGAGTTATCTGCAAATAAAACTGGCTTTGCTACATAAACACTTGAAAGAAGTACATTCAGAAGATTCAAAGAAGTAAGTGGAACTACAGCATTCAGGTGGGAGTAAGAGGACACTGTGGTCCCACTGCAGCCCTCCCCTCAGACCCCCTCCCTACCCACCCTTCCCCTTGGCTGGCCAGTCTGGGACTACTCTGTTCCCACAGCCACTTGGGGCATCCCCCATCACAGTGCTCAGAGGCTCGCCAAACACTTTGCTTTTCCACTTCAATACCCTTCTCATGGCCGGGTGCAGTGGCTCATACCTGTGATCCCAGCACTTTGTGAGGCCAAGGTGGGAGGATCACTTGGGCCCAGGAGTTCAAGACAAGCCTGGGCAACACAGCAAGACTATGTCTCTATTATTTATGAAAATTAAAAAACCCCACAAAACCTTTTTGTATGTATTACTATAACTGCATATTCAAAGTCTGTCTCCCCGAGCCAGCTGTGAGTGTGCTAAGGGCAGGGCCCAGGGCTGTCTTGGCCACTGCTGTGTCCCCAGCAGGGACTCATCCCTCTGGTGGAAGGACAGGGGCTGCCAGGACCTGGGGTGGCCGTTCTGCTTCCTGTCCTTTGTGTGCTGCTGCTGCTCCTGGTGGTCGATCTCCAGCAAGTGCTGCTTCATGCAGTTGGTGATCTCCGGGCCCAGGTGCCAGATGAACACACAGCTGTGGAGGCCAAAGAGACACATGCAAGGCAGAGGAAGAGTGAGCATGGGAGCTGCTGCCGTGGCTGACCCTGAAGCCACCCTCACCACAGCCTGGACCCTATTCTCCAGATGCTCCTGGAAAACACACCCCTATCCGCTTAGTGCAGGGATGCTGGACTTGCTACATCCGCACCCCGGGCCCAGGTCTGGGGCATCTCAGCAAACCAGGGCCTGCTCGGGAGGCCTCAAGACGTGAGGAAGGGGGCTGTGGGGAAGAACAGGGGTAAATCAAAGGGAGTTGACAAAAGGGACTTCCTTGAGCACCACCCATGTGCTAAAGAATGTATGGGTATCATCTCATTCATTTCTCACCATACAATTTTCTTTTTTTTTTTTTTTTGAGAGTCTTGCCCTGTTACCCAGGCTAGGGTGCAGTGGCACGATCTCCGCTCACTGCAACTTCTGCCTCCCAGGTTCAAGTCATTCTCATGCCTCAGCCTCCTGAGTAGCTGGGACTACAGGCGCCTGCCACCACGCACAGCTAATTTTTGTAGTTTTAGTAGAGACACAATTTCTCTATGTTGACCAGGCTGGTCTTGAACTCCTGACCTCAGGTGATCCACCCGCCTAGGTCTCCCAAAGTGCTGGGATTACAGGCATGAGATACCATGCCCGGCCTCATCACACCATTTTTAAGGTAAACGGTGTTGTCTTTTACAGAGGAGCAAACTGAGGCTCAGGGTAAATAAGCTGCTCAAGGTGACACGAAAATAAGTGACAGGGCTGGGATTTGTTTCTTCTTTTTAGGTTTTTTTTTTTTTTTTTGAGACAGGGTCTTGCTCTGTCACCCAGGCTGGAGTACACTGGCGTGATCTTTGCTCTCTGCAACCTCTACCTACCAGGTTCAAGCCATCTTCCCCCTCCTGAGTAGCTGGGACTACAGTTGTACACGACCACACCCAGCTAATTTTTTGTAGAGATGGGGTTTTGCTATGTTGCCCAGGCTGGTCTCGAACTCCTGAGCTCAAGTGATCCACCCGCCTCAGCCTCCCAAAGTGCTGGTGTTACAGGTGTGAGCCATCATGCCCAACTTAGAGCTGGGATTTGAACTCAAGGCTGGGTGTGACACCAAGACTCCCACAATCCAAATCCACTGGGCAGCTCAGAAATGCTTTCTACACAGGCAGGCTGAGAACAGTGCTCATGGTATCTGAGCCACGACTCTCCCAACGGTCCATGTCCCACCTGTCTCCAGATACTGTGATCAAGTGATGACAGTCATAGGTGAACTTCATGCTGGTAATAATTTCTGCAAACAAAGCAGAGAGGCTGTACTTGCCTTCGCAGTCAGAGGCTGGGGGTGGGGGTGGTGGGGCGCTAAGGAGGCCTCCCAAGCAGAGAGGTAGACCCACCTGAATGGCCAAACATCTTGGCAATGCACTCGCCCGAGTAAAAGTCAATCACTGAGATGCTTTTGTCAGAGCAGCTGGTGGCCAGGAAGGTGCCTGAGGGGTCCACATGGACCTGCCAGGAAAGGGACCCACATGTCACTCCAGCTGCCTGCTTCTTCCTTATGAGGAAGCCTGGGCCCCTCCCTCCCCCATGGTGGATGTTCAGCACATGGGACCCTGGCAGGGCAGGAGCTCCCGCTCCCATTCGACAGGTGAAGAAATTAACAACCACCTCAGCAGTAACAACAGTAGCCAGGCCCTGAGCTAAGCACTGAATGTGTGTAAACTAAACTCCTCCAGAGAACAAGTCTATGAGGCAAGCTGTCTATGTGCATTTTACAGGGGATGATGAAACAGGCTCAAGAGATGATGCTTGCCCAAGGTCACACAGTCAGCCTGAGGCAGAGCCTGAATCCATAACTGTCCCAGACCAGAGGCTCTGAGAAGGTCCCCCTTGTCCTGACTGACCCATGGCTGGTGTGGGCAAGCCAAGAGGGGAGTCCATGCCTCTTGATTCTTCCCGTTATACCCTGCTGCCACTCAAAATGGAACCCACTTAGATGCCCCACTTGGGGAAGGGCTCTGTAAATAAAGGAAACGCAGCTGGGGTCACCCTCCCCACCCTCTTGCAAGCATCCTTGTTTAACTAGGCCTGAGAAGGTGCTGGCCAGTGTGGTGCACTGAGGAAGGACCAAGGCCACAGGTCTCGGGTGTGGGCCATCACAATAGGTGGCCCATCAGGGCAGCAGACAGACGGGGGTCTCCAACTCCTTACCTTCAGCAAGGACCCTTCGTCACCCTGGGAACCCTTGTAGCACTTCTTCTGCTTCCCGTTCACAGTGTTGTAGACTCTGGGGAAGTGGGGGTGTGTTGTGATCAACAGGGCCCCGCCTACCCCACCACCTCATCCTCTGGGTCCTGCTGTCCTCTCCTCCCCTGGAAGCCCCCTGCTACCTCTTGTCCCCATCTGATGCCTAGACTGAAACTGAAATCCCATCTCAAGCTGAGATTGTGTCCTGGGGTACCCACTGACTTAATGCCCATCTCCCCCCCACACTGCAAGCTCAGTGCTTGGCACTGAATGAGAAGGAACTGGAAACGGGGTGCAGAGCCTCTCTGCACTGCTTTGCCCCCTGCACACTCCCTCTCTGCCTCCCCCTGGCTCATTCCTCCACATCCTCCCCAGGGTCAGGTGTCTCTTCCTCCAGGAAGTCCTGCTTGATCCCCAGGTGGGGTCAGGTGTCTCCGCAGGGCCCCTGGGCTCCCCCATCTCTGACCACTCTGTCACTGTCTGTGGCTGTGAGGTGGCCATGTCCCCTCTACTGGACTGTGAGCTCCATGAAGGAGGGCCTGGGGCTATCCTGGCCACTGCCATGATCCCAGCACCATCCAGCCCAGTTAGGTGCTCAGGGAATACGGGTGAATGAGGGAGTTTATGTGCCACATAAGCACCTTAGTCATCCCACATGGGCTCTAGGGAGAGCCAGAAGGAAGCCCTCTGCTGACCTGGAGGCCAGGCCTGGGAGAGCCCAGCTTCTAAGAAATACTTGCTGGTGGCCAGGCGTGGTAGCTCACGCCTGTAATCCCAGCACTTTGGGAGGCTGAGGTGGGCGAATACCTGAGGTCAGGAGTTCGAGACCAGCCTGGCCAACATGGCGAAACCTCATCTCTACTAAAAATACAAAAATTAGCTAGGCGTGGTGGCGGAAGCCTGTAATTCCAGCTACTTGGGAGGCTGAGGCAGGAGAATCACTTGAACCCAAGAGGCAGAGGTTGCAGTGAGCAAAGATGGCGCCACTGCACTCCAGCCTGGGCGACAGAGCGAGACTCTGCCTCAAAAAACGAACAAACAAACAAAAAACCCAAGAAGGAACACCTGCTGGGTCCCTCGATCCCCTCCCAGCTTCTTGGGAACCAGAGGAACAGAGGGAGAAAAGCAGACAACCTAGGACAAGGCAGACCAGGCCAGCTAAGGGTCCAGGGCCACCCCTTACCTCACATTGCGGTCCTGGCAGGCCACGGCCACGTACTTCTGGGTGATGTCAATGTCCATGTCATACAAGGTGGTTTTCTCTGCTACGTGGTGGGTACGGACAAAGTGTAGTCCATCTGAACCCTGGCAGGGCCAGCAGGACCTTCAGAGAATGCCCCGATAACCCCCCACCCCAGCCCCCAAGGAGGCCATGCCACCCTACCCGCTGGGCACTGCGAAAGTAGATGCTCTTGTCAGCCCCACAGCTGATCATCTGGATGTCTCTGTTGCCTGGGGGAGGAGAATGCTATGTGTTAGATAGAGCTGGGCCACATAGGCAGGGGACCCTAGCTGGGGAACTCCACTGCAAGAGCCATCAACCAACTCTGCTGGCATCAAGGAAGGCTTCCTGGAAGTGGTGAGGTGGATGCTGGGTCTGGGTGGGACTCTAAGATATGAGCTGTGTGTGTGAGGGGGCACAGGTGGAGCTGTGGGCAAGGCAGGCTCTGCAGAGCAAGGGCATATAGAGAAACAAAGGCTGGGGACAAAGAAGGGACACCCTCTCCAGTCTGGGATTGAGATAGGTGACTTCAGCAGCAGAGTAGAGGCAGAACTGTAGCAGGGACCAGTGGAGACAGGCTGGGAGGCTCGTGCCATCAAGATCAATTGCAAGATCCACACAAGCCTTGGGCCAGGCCCCATGCATGTGGCTGGTCTTCCTGAATGTTCACCACCCATCCCACTGGACAAGTGTGAACACAGAGGTTCACAGAGTCCTTGTCCCAAGGCACACAGAGGACGGGGCAGGACTGAACCCAGGCATTCTCTGGTGCCAGGGTCAAAGCTGTTAAACACCGCTCTGAACCTGGGCCTCCCCTTTGAGCCTCAGCTTCCTGTCCGTACAATGGGTATGGTGACAGTCCCTTCCCTGGAGAGTGGTGTGAAACCCTTGGAACAGGGACTGCCACATGGTAAGCACTAGACACAGTCTTGCTTTTATTATTCTCATTTCTTTTTTTTTGAGGTAGAGTCTTGTTCTGTCGCCCAGGCTGGAGTACAATGCTGTGATCTTGGCTCACTGCAACCTCCACCTCCTAGGTTCAAGCAATTCCCCTGCCTCAGCCTCCCAAGTAGCTGGGATTACAGGCACGTGCCACCACACCTGGTTAATTTTTGCATTTTTAGTAGAGACAGGGTTTCACCATGTTTGTCAGGCTGGTCTTGAACTCCTGATCTTGTGATCTGCCCACCTCAGCCTCCCAAAGATTATAGGCGTGAGTCACCGCCCCCCACTGTCTCATTTCTTTACAGAATAACAGTTTGGTGAGGATGAAACAACAGAACAAATATAAAACTCTTAGAGTCTCGGCACATCAGACATCCTTCTTCATGACAGGACATTTGAGAGGGTCCAAGCCTGACATACAAGTATTAGATGTTGCTCAAGGAGGAGTCGTTGGCTTACAGAAGGGAGTGAGCCCCATATAAGCGAGGAAGTGTAACCTAGGAGGGACCCAGAGAAGGCCTGCAAGCCTCTGGTAATGTTCTGCTTTTTAATCTCCATGTGGTGAATCTAAGTACCGTATTTAACAATATTACGACCACGAGCAATTAGAACAATCTCTGCTATCAACAATGTCCCAGTTCAAACCTCGCTCCTGAGAACTGTGAAGTGGATACTTGCTGGCTTTTTTTTTTGAGACAGAGTCTTGCTCTGTCACCCAGGCTGGAGTGCAGTGGCACAATTTTGGCTCACTCCAACCTTGGCCTCCCAGGTTCAGGCTATTCTCCTGCCTCAGCCTCCCAAGTAGCTGGGATTACAGGCATGCGCCACCATGCCCAATTACTTTTTTTTGAATTTTTAGTAGAGATGGGGTTTCACTATGTTGGCCAGGCTGGTCTCAAACTCCTGGCCTCAGGTGATCTGCCCGCCTCAGCCTTCGAAAGTGCTGGGATGACAAGTGTGAGCCACCACGCCTGGCCTATATTCTTCTTCCTTTTTTTTTTTTTTTTTTTTTTGAGACAAAGTCTCGCATTGTCACCCAAGCTGGAGTGCAATCATTGGCGCAATCTCAGCTCGCTGCAAGCTCTGCCTCCCAGATTCACGTAATTCTCCTGCCTCAGCCTCCCGAGTAGCTGGGATTACAGGCGCACACCACCACGCCTGGCTAATTTTTTTGTATTTTTAGTAGAGACGGGGTTTCACTATGTTGGCCAGACTAGTCTCAAACTCCTGACCTCATGATCTACCTGCCTTGGCCTCCCAAGGTGCTGAGATTACAGGCGTGAGCCATGGCACCTGGCCATTATTCCTTTTTTTTTTTTTTTTTTTGAGACGGGGTCTCACTCTGTTGCCTAGGCTGGAGTGCAATTGTATGAACTGAGCTCACTGCAGCCTCCACCTCCCAGGTTCAAGCAATTCTCCCACCTCAGCCACCTGAGTAGCTGGGATTAGAGAAACACCACCACATCCAGCAAATTTTTGTATTTTTAGTAGAGACGGGGTTTCACCATGTTGTCTAGGCTGGTCTCGAACTCCTGACCTCAGGTGATCCACCTTCCTTGGCCTCCCAAAGTGTTGGAATTATAGGCGTGAGCCACTGCACCCAGTCCCAGCCATTATTCTTTATACTATGCACAGATACTGTATTCACTTGTTTGGATATATATTTTACAGGAGAGTTGAAAGAATGAATCCTTTTTTAGCAGGGTAGCTAGCAAGGCACAGGGAGCGGGAAGGAAGGGGCTCACCAGCGAACTTGATGGCAGTGATGGAGGAGGAGTGGTCATCCAGCGTCTGCTCCAGGTTGTAGTTCTTCTCCACGTTCAGCACATGGATCAGCCGGTCCCGACTGGCTGAGGCCAGCAAGGTCAGCCCTGTGAGAGGAGAGAATAAGACTGGTTCCTGAAGGCTGCGTGGGTGCCCTGGCCTCCCAGAAGGGCAGTGTGACCAAGCTGCCCAGTCCTCGGAGAAGGGGTCTTTGGTTCTTCAACTGTAGCCAATTTGGCCCAAGCCTGGCAAGGGCCACTCCCTCAGTTCTGTGTGGTCTTTCCCAGAGCCCCTACACCCTGGCATTTCACCTCCTCACCACCAGCTCAGGAGGATGTCTCGATGGGTGCATGGACGCTCCTCCAGGGACATCCACAGCAGACACTCCAGCAGAGTCCAGTGCTCTTGCCTGCTGGGTCCGACTCCTTGGCGTGGTGGGTAAAGCCCTGGCAACCTCTCAGCCTCTTCCAAAACCAATGTCCTCTCACCCTCTGAGGTCTGGCTACCTGGGCCTAGTTCAGGTCCTACTGACTGCCTGTGGCCAGACTCCCATCTGCCACCAGCCTTCCCTACTCTGGTCACTTGCTATGTCTGAGGCCTAACAACATGACCTGAGGCAGAGGGGAGATCAGGAGAGGCGAACTGAGTGAAGAGATCTTTAAAGACAAGTTAGTAGGGCACACGGCATGGGGGATGGGAGAACGAAAGAAGAGCATGGGCAAAATCACATCAAGATATAACTCCACCATCTCCATAACTCCCAAAGTGCTGGAATTACAGGCATGAGCCACCGTGCCCAGCCTAGAAAAAATCTTGAGGAGCCGCGCGCGGTGGTTTACACTTGTAATCCCAGCATTTTGGGAGGCCAAAGCGGGTGGATCACCTGAGGTTAGGAGTTCGAGACCAGCCTGGCTAATATGGTGAAACCCCGTCTCTACTAAAAATACAAAAATTAGCCGGGTGTGGAGGGGGTGTGCCTGTAATCCCAGCTACTCTCAAGAGGCTGAGGCAGGAGAATCACTTGAACCTGGGAGGCAGAAGTTGCAGTGAGCCAAGATTGTGCCATTGCTCTCCAGACTGGGTGACAGAGCGAGACTCTTGTCTCAAACAAACAAACAAAAAAAAGCCGGGTGTGGTTGCTCATGCCTATAATCCCAGCACTTTGGGAGGCCAAGGCTGGCGGATCACCTGAGGTCAGGAGTTTGAGACCAGCCTGGCCAACATGGTGCTGAAACCCCATCTCTACTAAAAATACAAAAATTGGCCAGGCATGGTGGCAGGTGCCTGTAATCCCAGCTATTTGGGAGACTGAGGCATGAGAATCACTTGAACCGGGAGGTGGAGGTTGCAGTCAGCAGAGATGGCGCCACTCCCCTCTAGCCTGGGTGACAGAGTCCATCTCAAAAAAAAAAACAAAAAACATGAGGAATTTGGGTGAAGCCTATAGGGTGTTTATAGGGTGTTCATTATAATATTCTCCCAATATTTCTATAGGCTTCAAACTTTTTGAAAATAATGCCTAACAATCAATCTATCTTCTTCAGGAGAAGATGAGCTCATTCACAATTCACTCATTCACACATCCACCCCCTTTGGCTTGGGTGCTGGCACCAGCAGCGGGCAAGTCAAGCTGAGTCCTGCCTGCGAGTGTCTTGCGTTCTGGAGTCCCAGCCACTCTGGTCTCAGGGTCCAGCTACAGGGGCCCTTACCGAACACTCCCAGCTGTCATCCACAGATACTAACTACCCCTTTCTGTGGCCTTGCCAGGGGGGTTGCCTCCCTGCCAGACCCCCATTCCGAATACTCCTGCTGCAGGCTCACCTGTCTCTGGCTTGGAGTACTCCAGGCACAGCACCTCAGCATCATGGGCCTCCACCTTGACCAGCTCGTCCATGAAGTGCAGCTCGTGGATCCTGGGAGACACACACCGCCTGCTGAAGCCCCAGACCCCAGCCCCATGCACTCTGCCACTTCTAGAACAGGTCAGAATGGCCAGGCCGGCAACATGAGAACCCCTTATCATGGCCAAATACTCTAGAGACGTGCAATCACTTTTCTCATTTAGAAACCTGCCATTGTAAAGCGAGCTGTGTTGAGCCAAGGAGCACCTCAGCAGGCAGCAGTCCCTTGTGGTGCATGCGCCAGAACATAGCCCCAGGGATCTAGGACAGTCCTCTAGGGTGACAGGCGTTTACACAGGGCTGCATCAGAGGTAGTTCCTGGGGTGGGGCAGGGGCCAGGGATTAGGGACCAGAGGTCATAGTCCAGGATAGGAGCTATGGATGAGAACATCTGATTCCAGTCTCTCATTGTTAAGAGTCTCAAATCTAGACCTTCCTCATTCTCCTCAAATGAAATCAGTCATCAAGTCATCCCAGCTTCTCCATTCTACCTGCGTGATCTTAGTCCAGACACCTTGTGCCAATAACATCACTTACATCAGAGGGTCAGTGAAAGGATTAAATCAGTTAACACAGTGCTCAGGCCCGCGTCCAGCAAGGGGGAAGAGCACTATCCCCATGTTAGCTCTTGGTACCGCTGTGCCCCTCTGGACAGTGCCATGTCAACGTGAGCAGCTCACTGACACACTGAGCTGGCCTCATACAGTGACTGATATCAAAACAGGTGCCAATATTTAAATATTACAGAATTTCACAGAAAAAAAATCAGCACTTTCTGCTCTTCTTGACAACAGGAAGATGTGATAACTTGTAGCCTACTCTCTTGGGGCTGCCTGGTGGCTGCTGCCCCTTTATGTCCCCTCTAGTTCCCCCCAACTCTCTTCCATTCCCTAGTGGCTCCAACACCCAAGTAGTCACAGCAGTCATTTGTCATCTTAAACCTGGTCCCAGAGACAGAGCCTATGTCCCACTAGCACCTACTGGGTCGGTAACATCTTGCCAAACTTCAACAGGGCACATAAGCAGCCTGAACTCTCAGCTACCCCACCCTCCTAGCCCCTCTCCCAGGGCCACCAGGACCCTCCTCCAGCTGGCACCTTTGCTGACAGTTCAGCATTGGTACCATGTGGCTGGTGAAAGTGTCACTCTGCCCTAGAGTCATGTGAGCTTGCCTGTGCACTCTGTAGGCAAAGTCTGCACACCCCAGCTGCTGAAGTCCTGATAGTTACCCTGCTCTCAGCCCTTCTGGAAGCCTCTTCCGAGCTTAAGTTCCCAATGGGGGCTGTTTATGGGATTACTATTCACAGCCCCTCATTCCCAATGGGCAGCAGGAGGTGCCAAGGCCAGGGCTCCTGCCCACTGCCCTGAGAACCCGAGCGGGAGCTGGGAGGTGTACACTGGACACTGCCAGGGCCCACTTGCCTCAAATTTCCACTTCGGTCGCCTGAAGCCAAATGCTGGCCGTCAGGACTGACCTGCATGACCCGCACCCCGGCTTTCACGTCCACGGGCGTCCCATTCTCACTCCCCCGGTCTGGGAAGTGTGACATGTCCTGCAGGTGCTGGATGTCATTCTCCACATACACGACCTTCAGCAGGGTCTGCAGGAAGGACAGGGCTGAGGTCAGCACCACAAGCAGCTCAGAAGCACCTCTGAAATCGTGTCCCTCCATAGCCAGTCTCTTCTTCGTTAGTAATACAACCTTAATTTTGAGCTGGGAGTTTCACCAATCAGAATAATTATTTCCTTGCCTCCCCTGCAGCTAGATAAGAATATGTGAATAAATTCTGAACAATTAAATATAAAGCAAGCACGTATTCTTCTGCTGTCTCTTCTCCATCCTGCAGCCTGGAACACGGATATGATAGCAGGAGCCCCCACAGCCACACTGGGTCATGAGGACATAGCCTACTCCCTCAAATGACAGAGTAGAGAGCTGGAAGGCCCTTGGATCCCTAAGGGCTTCCTGCAGAACGGTCTAAACTGGTTACCTCCAAACTACTTTTATGAATCAGAAGCCTAACTTTTACCTCTTGAGTTTTTCTATTACATGCAGTCAAAAACAGCATGTATATCACAGGTACAGAGGAGATGATAGTAGCACTGGGTGGGGAATGAGGGGAGTAATAAAGGTGTACCTATGGGGCACCTGCTACAGCCTCCTGCATCAAGGGTCTTTTTAGTTCCAATCGCACTGGCCTCTTTCAGGTTTTCCAACTCACCCAGCTGTTTCCCACCCCAGGGCCTTCATACAGGCTATTCCCTAAGTATAGACTCTCTCCCCTTCCCTCTTTACTCTTCCCAATCTCAACTTAGCTGTCCCTTCCGCGGGAAACTGCTCTGGATGTCCCAGATAAGTTCACATGCTGCTGCTCTATGTCCTACTAGCACCCTGAACATTTTCCTTCATGGTGCTTGTTGCATTTGTGATTGTGCATAACATGGATGGTTGTCAGTTCACTGCCTGCCCTCACTAGATTGTGTGTGCCACAGGGCAGAAGAGTCTTAGTCGCTGTTGTGTCCCTAGCATGTAGCAAAGCACCTGGCATGGACCTTAATAAGTGTCTGCAGAATAAATGAATGCATGACTCAGGTCTCAGCTCCCCAGAGACGCCCTCTCACTGGCCTCGCAATACTAACCAAAATTTCTTCAGCAAACTCTTCTTCCCAGCCTCCCATCATGGCTCTTGCCAGCATTCTGCTTGCACCCCGCTGAGGCCTCACTGTGTGGCAGCCAATGGACAGGGGGAGCCCCGGCATGGCCTGGTTCATCAGGTGCTCTCCCAGGGAATTCCATCTGAAGACTTAGGAAGCAATTTCACCTCTGCTGGGTGTGTTGGGCTGCCAGGAGTGGCCATGTCCACACATCTGCAGAGCAGGAGCCAACTGGCAAAGAATCAGAGAGGATAGACTGTGCCACCTCAGAGAAGGAGCAGGAGAAAGAGAAACAAGAGGAAGCGATGCAGAGAGGGACTCGCCTTGGTTGCCGGCTCTTGCCCTAGTGGAACCTAACATTTCGGGTCCATCAGACTCCTTCCTGCCCCTACATTCAAGCTTACAGTATTGTTCCTCCTGAAAGATGGTTCACAAAGGAAGCCACTCACATTGCTGAAGATGTTTTTCTGCCAGTGAGAATCAGGGCTGCTGTCCAAGTTCCAGAAGCGAATGGTGTTGTCTGAAGAACAAGTCAGAAAGGATCCTGACGGCAAACAAGCTCTCTGGTCTTCAAACTCAGGATACACCTACAGTTCCCAGAGGACAAGGCAAAGGATGACTCAATGACAGCACTATGACTTACTGTTGCATTTTCATGGGGGAAAAAAAAAAGTAAGTTAAAGATAAACAGGTATGTGCAATACCTTCTTTGCTAAAAATAAACAAGGGAAAAAAAAGGATACAAAATGTTACCATATATCATCTATGTCCCACCTTCAGCCTAGGCCTTAACACATACCCTCAAATAAACTTTCAAGGGAAATGTGGAACTCAAACATCACTAAACACAAAAGAAAACAATGTACCATGAGCAAGAAGTAACAGAAGCAACAGAGTCTAGAAAGACTTCAAATACTGAAATGATTTATTTTTTATTTTTTAATTTTTTTTTGAGGCAGAGTCTGGCTCTGTTGCCCAGGCTGGAGTGCAGTAGCCGGATCTCAGCTCACTGCAAGCTCCGCCTCCCGGGTTTACGCCATTCTCCTGCCTCAGCCTCCCAAGTAGCTGGGACTACAGGCGCCCGCCACCACGCCTGGCTAGTTTTTTGTATTTTTTAGTAGAGATGGGGTTTCACCGTGTTAGCCAGGATGGTTTCAATCTCCTGACCTAGTGATCCGCCCGTCTCGGCCTCCCAAAGTGCTGGGATTACAGGCTTGAGCCACAGCGCCCGGCCAAATACTGGAATTATTAAATCAAGGGTGGTGGCGCATGCCTGTAGTCCCAACTACTTGGGAGGCTGAGGCAGGAGGATTACTTGAGACCAGCAGTTCAAGTCCAGTCTGGCCAACATATGAGATTGTGTCTCCAAACAAACAAACAGACAGACAAACCAAAAACAAAATAAAAAACCCAAATTGGAATTATCAGACAGAATACAAAATAACTATGATCAATATGTTTGATGAACTAAAAGATAATTTCCACAAGATTAAAAGTATGCAGCCAACCAGAAATTATAAAGATTAACCAAGCAGGGCTGAAAAAGAACCAAACAGAACTGCTTCTAGAAATGAATAATAAAAACATACTGGCCAGGCGCAGTGACTCATGCCTGTAATCCCAGCACTTTGGGAGGCCGAGGCGGGCAGATCCCCTGAGGTCAGGAGTTCAAGACCAGCTCCCCAGACGCTGGTTTCCCCAGCGTCTCTACTAAACCCTGTCTTTACTAAAAATACAAAATTAGCCGGGTATGGTGGTGCATGCCTGTCATCCCGGCTACTCGGGAGGCTGAGGCAGGAGAATTGCTTGAAACTGGGAGGTGGAGGTTGCAGTGAACCGAGATTGTGCCATTGCACTCCAGCCTGGGCAACAAGAGTGAAGCTCTGTCTCAAAAAAATAAAAATAAAAAAATAAAAAATAGGCCAGGCACAGTGGCTCATGCCTGTAATCCCAGCACTTTGGGAGGCCAAGGTGGGCAGATCACGAGGTCAGGAGATCAAGACCATCCTGACTTAACACGGTGAAACTCCGTCTCTACTAAAAAAAAAAAAATACAAAAAATTAGCTGGGCGTGGTGGCAGGCGCCTATAGTCCCAGCTACTCAGGAGGCTGAGGCAGGAGAATGTTGTGAACCCAGGAGGCGAAGTTTGCAGTGAGTCAAGATCACGCCACTGCACTCCAGCCTGGGCAGCAGAGCAAGACTCCGTCTCAAAAATAAACAAATAAATAAATAAAAATAAAAACATATTAAAAACCAAAGATTAGATATAATTGAAGAGAAAATTAAGTGAATTGAAAGACAGAACTAAAGATGTTTAGAATGAAGCTGAGAAGGACAAACAGCCACCATATAAAGAGATTTCAAAATATGGAAGATTGAGAACTGGGAAGACAATAGTAGCGGCATTAATTTTTTTAATTTCCCAAAATCTCGACATAAGAAAAACATCAACCAGATGGCAAAACCCAAACCTACAGACAACATTTATAGCAAAACTCAGTGACAAAATACTCCCATAACCCCCAAAATACAAGTGAGTGGGACAAACCACCACTAGTCACAAGACCTACATATCAGCATGCATGTGGGAGACAGAGAAGCAATGAGGCATCTGACAGACCCAGCAATAGGATAATTCCAAAGTAGCCAACAGGTGTTCACTGGAAAGCACACTGGGCCAAACTGGACAGCAGCTGAAATTGGGAGGGTTTCATCCGCCCCAGCAGCAGTTGAATGCAAGGGGTAAGGCCTAAAGGGACTGGAGAAGATCCTGTGAACTCTCAAAACTGAGCAGCCAGGGCTCCCTTCCAGGACAAAGCCCCACACTGAAGAGAAACTGCTGAGAGTAGAAACAAAACTGATCAATCACAACAGGAACAGGAGAAATAAAGTAAAGAGGAGATTCAGATTAAAGGAGAGACATAACAGATAAAGAGGACCACAAAAAGGAACTATCAGAAAGCAGGTTGCCATATTTTAACACGGAAAAATAACAGAAGCCTATAATCCCAGCACTTTGGGAGGCTGAGGCAGGAGGACTGCTTGAGCCCAAGTTTGAGACCAACTGGGCAGCATAGTGAGACCCCATCTCTACTAAAACTAAAAAATTAGCCGGGCATGGTAGTGCATACCTGTGGTCCCAGCTACTCGGGAGGCTGAGGCAGGAGGATTGCTTGTGCCTACGAGGTTGAGGCTTCAGTGAGCTATGATCATGCCACTGCACTCCAGCCTAGGCAAGAGTGAGACTCTTTCTCGAAAACAAACAAAACAAAACAAAACATGCCACTCCACCCCCATGAAAAAACAGAAGACAGAGTTCTCTCTTGTGAAGTTGGAAAATCTGTCCTGAAGCACACCAAATTCTAATATTTCAGAAAAACTGGTATCACGTAAAAATGAACAACAGGAAAGGACCAAGGTCAAATCCTATAGTCACTCTTAAAAAAGAAGAAGAAGAAGAAGAAGAAAAAAAGCACATCAGAAACATATTTTCACAAAAAAGATAAAAACTATAACTTACATTTTTTTTTTTTTTAAACAGAGTCTTGCCCTGTCGCCCACGCTGGAGTGCAATGGCGCGATCTCGGCTCACTGCAACCTCCACCTCCTGGGTTCAAGCAATTCTCCTGCCTCAGCCCCCCAGGTAGCTGGGATTACAGGCGCCCGCCACCACACCCAGCTAATTTTTTGTATTTTTAGTAGAGACTGGGTTTTGTCATGTTGGCCAGGCTGGTCTCAAACTCCTGACCTCAGGTGATCCATCTGCCTCAGCCTCCCAAAGTGTTGGGATTACCGGCATGAGCCACCATGCCTGGCCTACTATTTCAAAAGAAGGTAAAAGATATTTAAAAAATGATCCAAGATATGAAAAACAACCTAGAAAAACTCAGAAACAAAGTGATGTAACTTAAAGAAAGAACTAGGTCAGGCACAGTGGCTCATGCCTGTAATCCCTGCACTTTGGGAGGCCGAGGTGGGCAGATCACTTGAGGTGAGGAGTTCAAGACCAACCTGGCCAACATGGCGAAATCCTGTCTCCATTAAAAAAACAAAAATTAGCCAGGCGTGGTGGTGCATCTGGAATCCCAGCTACTCAGGAATCTGAGGCAGGAGAATCACTTGAACCTGGAAGCCTGAGGTTGCAGTGAGCGGAGATGACGCCACTGCATTCCAGCCTGGGCGACAGAGTAAGATACCATTTCAAAAAAAAACCTTGTACTTATACGTTCATAGCAGTGGTATTTACAATAGCTATAAGGTAGAAACAACCCAAGTGGCCGTCAACTGATAACAGAGAACAAAATGTGTTCTATCCATACAATGAAATACTATTCCGCCATAAAAAGGAATGAAGTACTGACACATGCTACAACATGGATAAATCTTGAAAACATTATGCTAAGTGAAAGCCAGGCACAAAAGCCCACATATTCTATGATTTCACTTATAAAAAATATTCAGGTCAGGCATGGTGGCTCACACCTGTAATCCTAGCACTTTGGGAGGCCGAGGTAGGTGGATCACCTGAGCTCAGGAGTTCAAAACCAGCCTAGGCAACATGGTGAAACCCTGTCTCTACTAAAATACAAAAAATTCACCAGGCATGGTGGCATGTGCCGTAATCCCAACTACTCTAGAGACTGAGGCATGGGAATTGCTTAACTCGGGAGGTGGAGGTTGCAGTGAGCCGAGATTGTGCCTCTGCATTCTAGTCTGGGTGACAGAGCGAGACTCCATCAAAAAAAAAAAAAAAAGAAAGAAAGAAAGAAAGAGGAAAAGAAAGGAAAGAGGCTCACGCCTGTAATCTCTGCACTTTGGGAGGCCGAGGTGGGCGGATCACGAGGTCAAGAGATCGAGACCTGGCTAACATGGTGAAACCTCATCTCTACTAAAAATACAAAAAATTAGCTGCGCGTGGTGGCGGGCACCTGTAGTCCCAGCTACTCAGGAGTCTGAGGCCAGAGAATGGTGTCAACCTGGGAGGCGGAGCGTGCAGTAAGCTGAGACTGCGCCACTGCACCACTCCGGCCTGGGTGACAGAGCGAGCGAGACTCAGTCTCAAAAAAAAGGAAGGAAGGAAAGGAGAGAAAAGAAAAGAGAAAAGATCCAGAACAGGCAAATCCATAAAGACAGAAGCAGATTAGTCATCTCCATCGATGGGGGGAGTGGGGAATGGGGAGGACTGCTTAACAGATACAGGATTTTTTTGGGTGGGTGGGTGATGAAAATGTTCTGAAACTAGAGAGTAACGATGGCTGCATGACACTGTAAGTGTACTAAGTGCCACCAAATGGTAACTTTAAAATTGCTGAAATGGTAAATTTCATGTCATGTATATTTTACCACTATATATATATATAATTCCCCATTCCAAAATAAACAGGGGTCAAAAGGGAGAGACTATAGTATACAATGGCTACATATTCAGATCCTGTAAATATAGTATAACTATTTTAAAAATTGGAGAGAGTAGAGAAAACATATGCAATACAATTGTTTTAACTGTCTTCAGAACTGAAGAGCTGTCCGTTCTCAGACTGTTGCATGTAAATGTGGGAAAAAGCAAATGAGTTAATGGGGATATTCTAATTCCATCATCCCCTGTGTCTTTAAGAACTACGCTTCTGGAAGCATCAACCCAATAGCTATGAGCATCCCTAACACCCAACTTGTGATTCTGAAATCCCAATTTGTACTAAAAAAATACACCTGGCCTTTTCTTTCTCTTTTTTCTTTTCTTTTTTTTTTTGTGATAGGGTTTCACTCTGTCACCCAGATTGGAGTACAGTGGCTTGATCTTGGCTTAATGCAACCTCTGCCTCCCGGGTTCAAGTGATTCTCATGCCTCAGCCTCCCGAGTAGCTGGGACTACAGGCGCCCGCCACCATGCCTGGCTAATTTTTTGTATTTAATGGAGACAAGGTTTCACCATGTTGACCAGGTTGGTCTCAAACTCCTGGGGTCAGGTAATTCCCCTGCCTCAGCCTTCCAAAGTGCTGGGATTACAGGCATGAGCCACTGCACCCAGCCCAAAAAACTAAACATGGTCTTTTCAAGAAATGGTTGATTCCTGATATGGGACAGGAAAGGTACAAGATGAGACTGGAACATATTGGCATCCCAGGCAGCAAGGTGGCTATCAAGAAATACTAGGGTCATGTCCAAAGGACTCAGGAGCCAACGTTAAGAGGCTCTCACTGGCCAAAGATGGGATGATATGAGCGCCAATAAAGTTAATAATTATAATAGATTAAAACATATCTGATATATTTAAATATATATGAGTTTATAATGATATTAAATAAAACTAGTTACCTTTAGAGGATAGGGAACCAATTCATTATCTTGAAAACTGGTAAATAAAGGGAAAGAATCAAGTATTTTTCCTGCCTTTCCTATATGAAGTATAGCACTGGGTGACCAAATGGCAGATGAGAGCAAATATCTCTTCACGTAAGCAGTCCAACTAATAAAAATAAATTATAGAATTAGAATATCACCATATTGCAACCTTCAATAAATGGGTCCAGGCATTGAGCATCAATAGCTGCTAACAGGCCAGGCACAGTGGCTCACACCTATAATCCCAGCACTTTGGGAGGCTGAGGCGGGCAGATCACTTGAGGTCAGAAGTTTGAAACCAGCCTGGCCAACATGGTGAAACCCCATCTCTACTAAAAATACAAAAATTAGCCAGGCGTGGTGGCGGCTGCCTGTAATCCCAGCTACTTGGGAGGCTGAGGCAGAAGAATTGCTTGAAACCAGGAGGTGGAGGTTGCAGTGAGCTGAGATAGTGCCACTGCACTCCAGACTGGGGCAACAGAGCAAGATTCTGTCGGGGGGGGTGGGGGGGAAAGCTGCTAACAATAATTGATAAACTCTACATATCGTTTGTGTGATTTTTATGATGTTTATTTTCAGAAACATAAAGAATACAGGTAGAACCTTAGAGTTATAGAAGAGAGAATAGGCCGGGCATGGTGGCTCATGCCTGTAATCCCAGCACTTTGGGAGGCTGAGGTGGGCAGATCACCTAAGGTGGGGAGTTCAAGACCCGTCTGGCCAACATGGAGAAACCCCGTCTCTACTAAAAATACAAAATTAGCCAGGCGTGGTGGTGCCTGCCTGTAATCCCAGCTACTCATGAGGCTGAGGCAGGAGAATCGCTTGAACCTGGGAGGTGGAGGATGCTGTGAGCCGAGATTACATCATTGCACTCCAGCCTGGGCGACAAGAGTGAAACTCCATCTCAAAAAAAAAAAAAAAAAAAAAAAAGCAGAGAGAGAATAGAGTAGAAGCAGTATTGGCTGACAATTTTCTAGAACTGATGAAAAGATCTATCCACAGATACTGCTGCTGAACAGCTATATACATAAACAATAAGGAGATGCAAAGAAAATAAACTGAAGACACATAATAAAATTGATAACAATGAGGGTGAGAGGGAGCAGAACTGGGGGCAGGGAAGTCATCAATGTAGACTGTAGCCTTATCTATAATATTTCACCTATTTTCCCAAATTTTAAAAAATTTCATATATAAATTTTAAGTTATTAAAAAACAGTCTTTGAATGGAAAAAAAGTGCTGTCAACAAAAACGTCAGCCCCATGAAGGCACACAGACTCAACCAGAGTCATACGGCTGAATGCTGCCTATTCAAAAGGACAAAGTTCTTTGTCATGGTCCTGAATCTGGCCATGAAAACATAATTCCTCTAGGACAAACATTTCCAGTTAAGAAATTTTCAGCCCCCTTGCCATAGCCCCTGCCGAGTAGCTGCAACTATAGGCACGCCTGGCTAATTTTCAATTCTGTTTTGTAAAGCCGGGGTTTCCTCATGTTGCCCAGGCTGATCTCGAACCCCTGGACTCAAGTGATCTGCCCACTTCGATTTCCCAAAGTGCTGGGACTACAGGCATGAGTCACCGTGCCTGGCTAACTTTAGAGAATTTTTTAAAATCCACAAACTCACTCTCAGAAAATAAAAACTTCAAAACCTTTTTTTTTTTTTTTTTCTAGACAGGGTCTCACTCTGTTACTCAGGCTGGAGTGTGGTGGCACAATCACAGCTCACCGTAGCCTTGACATCCTAGACTCAAGTGATCTTCCTGCCTCCGCCTCTCGAGTAGCTGAGACCACACGTGTGTGCCACCATGCCTAGCTAATTTTTAAAAATTATTTGTAGAGGGCCGGGCGCGGTGGCTCAAGCCTGTAATCCTAGCACTTTGGGAGGCCGAGACGGGCGGATCACGAGGTCAGGAGATCGAGACCATCCTGGCTAACATGGTGAAACCCCGTCTCTACTAAAAAATACAAAAAACTAGCCGGGCGCGGTGGCGGGCGCCTGTAGTCCCAGCTACTCGGGAGGCTGAGGCAGGAGAATGGCGTGAACCCGGGAGGCGGAGCTTGCAGTGAGCTGAGATCGGCCACTGCACTCCAGCCTGGGTGACAGAGCGAGACTCCGTCTCAAAAAAAAAAAAAAAAAAAAAATTATTTGTAGAGACAGGGTCTTGCGTTGCCCAGGCTCGTCTCAAACTCCTGGGCTCAAGTGATCCTCCCGCCTCAGACTCCCAAAGTGTTGGGATTACAGGCGTGAGCCACTATGCCCCATCTTCAACTCTTTTTTAAAAAAAACAGTGAAATACAGAAACAATCTCCACAGCAAAGCTTTCTGCAGAGTGCACGTTCCTGCTGCAGGGCCTCTGTGCTTGTGGTTCTCCCCAGTAGTTGCAGGTCTCACTCCCCAATTTCCTGCAGGTCTCTGCTTAAATGTCCTCAGGAAGGTCTTCCCTGACCCCTCTCCTCTCTAGAATACCACCTGGATTCCCCTTCCCCTTCCCTGCCTCATTTTTCTTCAGAGGGTTACTGCTGCTTGGCGTGTTATTCACTGATGATGTTTCCAGGTTTCCTTTCCCATCCAAATGTGAGCTCTTAAGGGCAGGGTTTTTGTGTCTGTGTCCTCAGCACCTAGGACAGGGCCTGAGGCATAGGAGGGAGTCAATGAGTATCTTCTGAAGGAACTACTGAATGGGTTCCCAAACTGTGGGGAACTGTGCAGAGGCTAAGCAGGGGCAGAGGGAGGGAGGAGGGACTCACCTCCACGTTCCAAACGTAGGAGCTGTGGAAGAGCTCTGACCACACCTTGCCCACTCTGTTGATGTCCTTGACATCCCAGATGTAGATGCTGTGGTCCTTATACACGCAGGACAGCCACTGGTGGATGGGGTCGAAGGTCAGTGCCACTGTATCTGGGTAGACTGCTTCTGCCTTCCTGTGGAAGAGGAAGCTAACAAGGCCACATGGGTAATCAATCACCATCAATGTCACTGAGTAGTGACAGCCACCTCTAGTGACAGTGGAGCTGCCTCCCCGGCAATGCCATGCCTCAGGGTATTTGTGGCCATCCATCTCTCCTGCTCCAATTCCACTTCTCCCTCTTTCCTCTTCCTCTGCTTGGCTTCTCATGTAGAGGATACAAACTGGAAACTTTTGCCTGGCCCTGAGAGCAAATGAGTTTTTGATTCCTATGAACATTTCTCTCCCATCATTTCACCCAACTCAAGCTCCTGCTCTCTCTGAGCATACAAAGATAATAGGCATGTATCTCAGGTCCACCTCTTCTTGGCCTCACCAACACATGATCAAAAAGTCTCTTTGCCCTAAGGAGGCTGGGGAGCTGTCTCATGGCCCGGGGTCTCCCTATGAAGGCTACAGTTTACTGAGCATTTATACTGTGCCAGGCCGAGAATTTTACCTGCAATAAATTCTCACAACCACGATAAGAGGTAGGCACTGTATTTTACATATGAGAAAACGGAAGCACAGGGAGGTATAGTCACCTTCCCAAGGTCACACAGCACAACAGAAGGCAGCAGAGTGAGAGCCCAGCTACTATAACACAACACTGCCTGTGGGTTGCTCACCCCCTCCTTTCCTTCATGACACCTGTTCAGGTCCTGTCATGGAAAAGGCACCCAGGAGCTAGTATCCAGAAATCCACAAAGAGGCAGCCCTAGGCACCCGGCATCCCCTGGTTAGGTAGCCCCCGATTCCCTACAACAGACTTGCAACAAAGGAGAAGACAAGCCACAGCCTAGCACTTCCATCCACTCTCGACACAGCAGCAGAGGGACCTAACATGTAAGGCCTGGTCATTTACCCCAACGCCCGAAACCCCCAGCAACTGCCCACTGACCTAAGGATAGACCTCAGGCACCCCACACTGGCCTCATCTCCCACCATCCTCCCTGGGCACACTGGGCTCTGGCCACACAATCCCTCACTATTCCTGCAACATGACAAGCCCAGTGTACTGTCACCTCAGTTGCTGGGACCCAGCTCTCCACACAGCGGCTCCTTCTCACCAGACACCCAGTCAGTACAGCCCACCCCGGGCACTCTCCTTCCTGAGTCCTTGCTGTGTTCCCCAAAGCACTGATGCCTATCTGAAATTACCTTCTTTGTGTACTTGCTTATCATCGAGCCCCCCTGCTATACTGCACAGAGGCAGAGATTTTGCTGCTTCACTATAGGTGTATCCTGCTTCCAGCCCAGGGCTGGCACTTAGCAGCTGCTTAGTAGGGGTCAGCCATGTGGATGCAAACACTCCACCACATTCACAGCTGCTCTGCACTGTTCTTCACCATGCTGACCGCTATCTGAGATGATACTGTTTATTCCTTTGTTTTCTCACTGACTGTTTCTTCCCCTACCCAGCCTCACTTCTCACTGTGAAGCTTGCCTTGGAAGGCAAGGACTTTTCTGCTTTGTAATGCCCAGGGCTGAGAGTCATGATGAGTATTTGTGGGATGGACAGATATATGGATCTGGAAGCATGGATGAATGTCAGTGGAGAGACTCTGGGTGGGCCCCTCCCATTCCGTTCCCTCTCCCTGCAGGGCAGTACCTGGGCTCCAGGCCCTGTGCCACATCTACCCCAAGGTAGTGTGGCTTGGGCAGGTTGGTGAGGTAGTGCAGGCTGTGGGCCTGGAAGATGCGGACTATCCCATCTGTGCAGCCACAGAAGATGAGCTCCTGGCTGACACAGAGGCAGGAAGACAGGGAGACCTGTAGGGGCAAAAGGGACCCCAGTGGATTTGGTGCTTCACGTGGCCTGGCCCAGGGACATGGGGACTGACAGAGCAGCCTTAGGCCTCCAGAGAAGACTTATAGTTCCTTGGGTCTAAGACACCCATTTTAGCACATTTTAAGATTTCTGAAATCAAGATATAGTATACTGCTGCTATTGAAAGACATGTGTCCCCAGGTAGACAGAGACATGAACGGAGACAGAGATGTCACTGCCGTCTACAGAGAAACGTAGCTAGGTATGAAAAATACCTGTTCAGGCCGGGCGCGGTGGCTCAAGCCTGTAATCCCAGCACTTTGGGAGGCCGAGACGGGCGGATCACGAGGTCAGAAGATCGAGACCATCCTGGCTAACACGGTGAAACCCCGTCTCTACTAAAACTACAAAAAAAAAAAAACTAGCCGGGCGAGGTGGCGGGCGCCTGTAGTCCCAGCTACTCGGGAGGCTGAGGCAGGAGAATGGCATGAACTCGGGAGGCGGAGCTTGCAGTGAGCTGAGATCCGGCCACTGCACTCCAGCCTGGGCGACAGAGCCAGACTCCGTCTCAAAAAAAAAAAAAAAAAAAAAAAAAGAAAAATACCTGTTCAGCAGACTGCAATTTCAGGTAAGTCACTTGTAGTAACAGGGTTGAATGCTAAGCTTAAAATTGTTTTTTTTTTGAGACGGAGTTTTTTTTCTTGGTCGTCGCCCAGGCTGGAGTACAATGGTGCGATCTTGGCTCACTGCAACTTCCACCTCCCGGGTTCAAGCGATTCTCTTGCCTCAGCCTCCAGAGTAGCTGGGATTACAGGCGCCTGCCACCACACCCGGCTAATTTTTTTGTATTTTGAGATGGGATTTCACCATGTCTGTCAGGCTGGTCTTGAACTCCTGACCTCAGGTGATCCACCCACCTCAGTCTCCCAAAGTGTTGGGATTACAGACGTGAGCCACTGCGCCTGGCCTTTAGGCTTAAATTTTATTCCCTTTTGCTTACAAACAACTTCATAACGACTATACTCCAAAGCAGTACAGAAAAAAGTTATAGTATCTAGAAAGGACTGCCTATCTTACTAGGAAGTGCTAGACCTCTAGACGCAGTTTAAGGAGTTTTTCCAAATCTAGAGCGACTTATATATGAGTCATTTAGAGCTTAGGAACTAAACATCTATCTATTGAAAGCTTTTCACTTGCTTGAAAAAGAGAAAATGATGTCTAACCAACTAGAACAAATATAAAACTTGGAACTCTTCCACATGCCATTAACCTCAAAGGTGATCTCTGGAGTGAGTTACAAAGGCAAGGAAGGAACAGGAGAGAAAACCACAATGCTCTGGCTGATAGCCAAATGGGCAACTGATTCCAGATGGGAAAATAGCTTGGACATAAACTTTCAGATACTAAAGGAAAGCAGCTGTGCAATGTATTGATAGATCATGCTCTAGTTTAAAAGTTTATGGCCGGGCACAGTGGGAGGCCAATACCAGTGGATCACTAAAGGTCAGGAGTTCGAGACCAGCCTGGTCAACATGGTAAAACCCTGTCTCTACTAAAAATACAAAAATTAGCTGTGCGTTGTGGCAGGCGCCTGTAATCCCAGCTACTTGGGAGGCTGAGGCAGGAGAATCGCTTGAACCTGGGAGGCAGAACTTGCAGTAAGCCGAGATTGCACCACTGCACTCCAGCCTGGGCAATAGAGTAAGATTCCATCTCAAAAAAAAAAAATTAAAAATAAATAAATGTTCATGCATTTTGTGTAGTCTTTTTTGACTGAAAAGTTATTAAATCAATGGTACCTCTGAGTTTTAAAAAATGCAATCCTCTACCAGCCAGAGTGCTCAAAGGAGAAGAGAAATGTGAAGTAGATCAAATAGTAATGGGAAAACAACTGTCACCCTGAGCCCATTTCAGGTTACCAAGCACTGTGCTCACTGCCTATATTATCTCACGTGACTTCTTTATCAGCTCTGTGGGGAGGGCAGCAGTACTCCCATTTTACAGATGTGGAACCTGAAGCTCAGAGAGGGGGTGTCATTCACCATTAGTCACATAAGCAGAACCTGTGTGGTCAATGCTGATGAACACTCCTGCAGACACATATCATGAGAAAGAGCCTGTCCAACTGATGGCAGAGAGGGAGGTGGTACCTTCAGGTTGATCCACTTCTCCAGCACCCTCTTCTCATTGAACTGGCAGAGGAGGCCTGAGTAGGACACACAGAAGGTACTGCCTGCCATCCGGCCCCGACCGCAGGCCACACCACAGAAGATATTGTTGTGCAGCTCGCCCAGGATGCCTGAGCGCCCTACAAGGGGCACTGTGCTCGTCACCTGGAGACACAGAGGGCATAGTGAGATACTGTCCACACAGCTGAGCCCCCAACAGGGTCACGATGGGTCCTACATGACCAGATGATAGGACACAACAAAACAGGAGAACTCTAAGCTCTTCCAAATGGAGGAGAAGGAAAGAAAACACTAGAACCCTGCCACTCTGGACAGGAGGGCTGGAAGCAGTAGTGCAAGAATGAGGAGCTGGTCCCAGGGTCAGGGGGTTCCTGGCAGGGCCTGTGCATCAGCCCCCTGAGAGTAGGCCCAGAAGCAGCAGCTGGGCCCGAGAGGTCAAATGGCCCGAGACCGCTGCCCTCAAATCCCAGGGAGAAACGGGAGGTCATGCTGCCACAGATGGTGACTCCCTCAGGGCCTGGTTAAAGGGGCAGGGACAGAAACTCACCTTTGTCTCAGTGGAGACTTCCAAGAACCAGAACCTCACATGTCGGTTCCCAACAGTGACAAAATAGCTGCTGTCCTCTGAGAAGGAGAGGGCGATGACTCTACAAGATACCTTGTTGGAGGCCACTACGATGTCTTTCTGGAAGAATAAGTGCAAAGCTCATGCCAGCACTCATTCCACTGGACTGCCTGGGCCTCCCTGCTCGTCCCCACTCCAAATCTGTCTTCCTAGGACCCTCCAGGGAGCTGCTGTATGGGGAAACCTATGTGGTGCAACCTGCTCATTCCTCACCAGAGGGGACAGAGGCTTGGAATGGTCCCCCTAGGAGAGTATGTTCCAGAGCTCTCCCAAGGGTCTAAGCTCTGCAGCCCACGCATGGTACTGGGGACAGTCATGGCTGGGATGTAAGGACAACGCAACCTATGGCTGTCACGGATGGGGCTCCTGCTCTGGGCCCTGCCTTGAGCCCTTCACAGGATAACCCATGAAATTCCCTCAATAGCCCCATGAGGGAATTGAGCCCTGGTAGCCTCTCCCCAACCCTACCAGGCTCAGAGGGGAAGATGTCATGTGCTCAAGGTCACATAGTGGGTTATGGGCAGAGCCAGGACTTGGTACCCACTTCTGCCAGCTCCACAGCTGTTCCAAAGCCCAGCCTTCCAGTGCTTATCAACTCATTAAAGTCTTACAACTCAACAAGGTAAGTAGTACTATATCCATCTAACAGAGAAGGAAACAGACTCACAGAGATGTTAAGTCACTTGGCTAAGGTCACAGCTGGTCAATATAAAAATATTTATAATTATTCTAGCTGGGTGCCTGTCTCGTGCCTTACAATAAGGGATCAGCATGTCGCAGGTGCTCAATAGCTGTCATGTGTTGGGTGAGTGAGCACTTTACTGCGTCCTCTCATGTAGCCCTCCCAGTGCCCAAGACACAGGATGCTCTGGCAGCTGGCTGCCTGTCACAGGCCCGCTGGTCTTACCTTCCAGTCCCAGACGTTGAGCACCATATCATGTTGGTAGCCCATGGACACGATGTGCTTCATATTGGGTGAGAAGGCCACACAGGCCACACCATACTTGTGGCCTAGCATCTCCGCCACCTGATTCTTCTCCTCCACATCCCAGATGCGCACAGCAGGCCTATGTCCATTCTAGGGAAGGTGGGGTCATTACTGCTGCTGGGCTCTGTACCAGGCAGGGCTAGAGGGGTTGTCAAGGCCGAAGATTGCATTGCCATAGGGTGTGCCCAAAAGCCATCTCCCCCATCTGCTACGGGGCTGTCCTGGCCCAGGAAGGAGCTATTCCAGGGACTCCCAGGCCTGCTGGGAGCATAAGGAATAGCTCCCGAGACCCCCAACCCCCACTCCCACTCAATGGTGATCATGACTCACCTCCCCTGTCACTATGTACTTCCCATCAGGGGAGAAGGCCAGAGCACTCAGAGACTTCCTGGGGATAAAGAAAAGAGCTGATCACTGGTTCCACTAAGGGTGGCCAGTCAGACCCCACCCTGGCGGCTCTGATAGGACTCTGCCCTCTCCTGCCTCCCAAGCCTCGGAAGAGGCCAGGGGAGGTGAGCTCAAGCAGCTCCCACAGAGCCAGTACTGCTGGCGTGCCCAGCACAGCACACAGAGAAATGGGGGTAAATGCAAAGGCCCCTTCCACCCTGAGATACCAAACCCAAATGGGGTAGACATTGTATGGGGACCCTGCTTTCTTCCCTCTCTGCCGCAGTGGGTACCCTAAGACCCCACTCACCCTATAACACTGAGAAATATGCAGGAAATGGTACAGGCCTGGCCTAACTAAAGGGGTGGTGCTGATGGGAGGATCCTGGCAGACATCACATCAAGGTAGCCTGCAGCGTGTGCTCCACTGATAAATACTCAAGATATTCTGGAAAATCCATAAACAGCCAAAATGTTTCTGAGACTCCTAGCTAGCCTGCACAAGGACTTGAATGAACAGGCTAGCTGGCAGATTTCTGGCAGTGCGATTCACCATTCTGAGACTGTACGGTTTCCTTCTTCTCCCCTCTCTCTTTTCATCTTGTTTTTACCTTTGTTCCTTAACAATAATTGTCTCCCTACGTGAGATGGTAAATTGGCGTGCAGATAACTAAGTAAATGTCACTAAGTGAGACTTTGGCAACTTCATGGAATATTCATCATCAAGTCAACCTGCTTCCCAGGCTTCCCGTGGTTCCTTACAGCAGCAAACAGGGCAAGTTGCCTCCCGGATACCCACTTGTCTCTCTTTCCTCACTGACATAATCCCAGTTTCATGCTTGCAGCTATGCAGGTACAGCTACATGACTCAGTCTGGCCAAGGAGAAGTAAACTGACATGCTGTGTGCCCCGCTTCCCACCAATTCCCCTCCTGAAATAAGCACAGAACAGCCAGAACTCCATCTTGGGCCATGAAGTGACTTCAAGACCAGAAGCCTCACAATAAATGGGGTGGAACAGAAGGAGAGAGGAATGGAGGCTGGGTGCAGTGCCTCATGCCTGTAATCCCAGCACTTTCGGAGACAGAGGTGGGAGGTTCACTTGAGGTCAGGAGTTCATGATCAGCCTGGCCAACATGATGAAACCCCATCTCTACTAAAAATACAAAAAAATAGGCCGGGCATGGTGGCTCAGGCCTGTAATCCCAGCACTTTGGGAGGCCAAGGCGGGCAGATCACAAGTTCAGGAGATCGAGACCATCCTGGCTAACACGGTGAAACCCCGTCTCTACTAAAAAGTTCAAAAAAATTAGCTGGGCGTGGTGGTGGGTGCCGATAGTACCAGCTACTTGGGAGGCTGAGGCAGGAGAATGGCTGAACCCTGGAGGTGGAGCTTGCAGTGAGCCGAGATCACGCCACTGCACTCCACACTGGGAGAGACAGCGAGACTCCATCTCAAAAAACAAACACACAAACAAACCAAAAATAGCCAGGTGTGGTTGCGGGAGCCTGTAATCCCAGCTACTCGGGAGGCTGAGGCAGAAGAATCTCTTGAACCCGGGAGGCGGAGGTTGCAGTAGGCCAAGATCGTGCTGCTGCACTCCAGTCTGGGCAACAAAGCAAGACTCCGTCTTGGGAAAAAAAAGAAGTGGGGCAGGGTGCGGTGGCTCATGCCTGTAATCCCAATACTTTGGGAGGGCGAGGTGGGTGGATGACGAGGTCAGGAGATTAAGAACACCCTGGCTAACATGGTGAAACCCTGTCTCTACTAAAAATACAAAAACAAAATTAGCCGGGAGTGGTAGCAGGCACCTGTATGTAGTCCCAGCTACCGGGGAGGCAGAGCTTGCAGTGAGCTGAGATGGCACCACTGCACCCCAGCCTGGGTGACAGAACGAGACTCCATCTCAAAAAGAGAGAGAGAAAAAAAAAGTGGGGTCCCCGGTGTTCAGAGACACAGCCCCTGGGCTGCCCACCTCCGGACTTACGATGTGCAGGAAGAGCATGCCCTTGGGTTTTAAGCTACGCTGTGGAGGGGTTTCCGTTATCTGTAGCCACCTCTAACCTGTCGCATGCCCCGACCTTGTGCCTGGCCCTCTAGCAAATGCTGTGTGGCCATCACTGCACTGATTCCACAGGCATGCTTCATGGAGTCAGGGCTCTCATGAACCAACTTTGCAGATGAGGTGACTGCAACACAGGGAAGTCCCCTGCTACGGTTAACTAACCAGACAGGACAGAGCCCTGACCTCTAAGCCAGTAGTTCTCAGTCTTGGCTGTACATTATAATTCCCTGGGGAGCATCTGAAAAGTGTCAAAGTCTAAGATTAGTTGAGTGAAAGTTTGGTGAGGAACAGGATAATATTTGCACAGTCTCAGAAAAGATTTCCCCAGGATACTTGCTAATCATAAAGGTGAAAAGAGAGGCTTTGAAGTGGAGGAATCTGGAAGGCAACACCTTGGCCAAATGCTCCCAGTGAACATCACCAGTCACGGGAGACTTCCTGAGAGGAGGCACTGGGAAGAACACAGCACCCCTTCTGGTCTGTTCCTGTCAAAGATGCAGAACCTGAGTCTGCCCTTGAGGAAGCATAGAATAAACCCAAGATACCTCATCTACAATCCTCAAAAGTGTCAAGATCGGCCAGGCGCAGTGGCTCATGCCTGTAATCTCAGCACTTTGGGAGGCCGAGGCAGGCAGATCATGAGGTCAGGAGTTCGAGACCAGCCTGGCCAACATAGTGAAATCCTATCTCTACTTAAAAAAAAAAAACAAAAAACAAAAATTAGCCAAGAGTGGTGGCGCGCACCTGTAGTCCCAGCTACTCGGGAGGCTGAGGCAAGAGAATCGCTTGAACCCAGGAGGTGGAGGCTGCAGCGAGCTGAGATCACTCCATTGCACTCCAGGCAGGTGACACTGTGAGACTTCATCTCAGAAAAAAAAAAAAGGGTCAAGATTCTGAAAGTCAAGAAAAGACAGAAGAGCCACGTCAGCCTGAAGTCGAGACTGAGGGGACAACTCAATGCAATGTGTGATTCTAGACAGAACCCTTTGGCCATAAAGGACATTCATGGGACAAAGGCTGACTCCTGAATGGAGCCCTCTGGGGAGTGAATGGGAGTGATTTACCACTTTTCATTTCTTGATTTTGCTGTATATATTACAGTTTAGAAGGACTGTCTTTTTTTTTTTTTTTTTTTTGTAGGAAATACACACTGAAGTATTTATTTTATTTTATTTTATTTTTTTGAGACAGAGTCTTGCTCTGTCACCCAGGCTGGAATGCAATGGCGTGATCTTGGCTCACTGCAACCTCTACCTCCCGGGTTCAAGCGATTCTCATGCCTCAGTCTCCCAAGTAGCTGGGATTACAGGCACGTGTCACCATGCCCAGCTAAATTTTGTAGTTTTAGTAGAGATGGGGTTTCACCATGTTGTCCAGACTGGTCTCAAACTCGTGACCTCAGGTGATCTGCCTGCCTCGGCCTCCCAAAGTGTATTTATTTTATTTTACTTTATTTTTCTTGAGACGAAGTCTTGCTCTGTTGCCCAGGCTGGCGTGCAGTGGCGCAATCTTGGTTCACTACAACCTCCGCCTCCCAGGCTCAAGCAATTCTCCTGCCTCAGCCTTCCGAGTAGCTGGAATTACAGGCGCCTGACACCAGGCACAGCTAATTTTTGTATTTTTAGTAGAGACAGGGTTTTGCCATGTTGCCCAGGCTGGTCTCAAACTCCTGACCTCAAGTGATCCTCCTGCCTCTGAGGCCTCCCACAGTGCTGAGATTATAGGTGTGAGTCACCATGCCTGGCCTGAAGTATTTAGAGATATAGGGGCATCATGTCTACAACTGATTCTCAAATAGTTCAGAACAAATTAATATGTATATAGACAAAAAATGATAAAGCAAATGTGGTAAAATGCTAACATTTGGCCAAGTGCAGTGGCTCGCTCACGCCTGTAATCAGCCTTTGGGAGGCTGAGGCAGGTGGACTATCTGAGCTCAGGAGTTTGAGACCACCTGGGGCAACATGGTGAACCCCGTCTCCACTAACACACGAAAAATTAGTTAGGCATGGTGGCACATGCCTGTGGTCCCAGCTACCTGGGAGGCTGAGGCATGAGAATCGCTCGAACCCAGCAGGTGGAGGTTGCAGTGAGCTGAGCCTGGGTGACAGAGCAAGACTCTGTGTCCAAAAAAAAAAAAAAGCTAACATTTGGGAAATATGTGAAAGGTACATAGGTATATATGAGCTCTTTGTACTATTCTAAGTCTGAAATTATTTCAACATAAAAAGTCTCAAAATTGCCAATGCCCAAGTTTCATCCCAGATCAATTGATTTGGCTTTCTCTTGGGGTGAGGCATAGGGACCAGGTGATTCTGATACGCAGTCGGAAAGAAAACCCCCACACTGGCCACACCACCTCCTAATGCACACCCACTGGTGGCCCAGGGTGGGCACTTGCATGCCATCTACTACAAATCCAGGCCACCCACTCCACTGCCTACAGGGATTAGGGTGGCAACACAAGTATGAGGAACTGGCCACAACAGGCCTGACAAATGTCACTAAGCTCAGTCCATCACTGCCACAGGGGAATTTGGGTTCCAGAGGCCAGAATTTCTCACTTCTCCAAACAAGAGGGACATGTAGATTTTTGTGTTAAAAAACTTGAAATGGGCCAGGCAGGGTGGATCAAGCCTGTAACGCCAGCACTTTGGGAGGCTGAGACGGGCGGATCACGAGGTCAGGAGATCGAGACCATCCTGGCTAACACGGTAAAACCCCGTCTCTACTAAAAAATACAAAAAACTAGCCGGGCGAGGTGGCGAGCACCGGAGGCGAGGCAGGAGAATGGCGTAAACCCGGGAGGCGGAGCTTGCAGTAAGCTGAGATCCGGCCACGGCACTCTAGCCTGGGCGACAGAGCGAGACTCTGTCTCAAAAAAAAAAAACAAAAAAAAACAAACTTGAAATGTTGTCCACTCATCCAACCTTTAAAACACACTGTATTGGGCAAGTTTGTGTGATTCTGGTTTGCAGCTGCTGCCTTACGAATGCTCTCCCAATTACCAGCAGCTATTTTATTTTCAGAGGAGACCAAGGCTCTGAAAGAAATGTCTCACCTGAGGTTCCACAGTGAATAGATGCTTGAGCCAGGAATAGAACCCAGCTCTGCCCTTATCACCAGTAACAGAACCCACAGTTAGGAGCAAAATGTCCAAAAAGCCACTTTCAAGAGGGAATGCACTTCTGAAAGATAACAAGAACCTGCCGTAGCTTAAGGACCGTATCTTAGGGACCATAAGGGCAGGAGAAAACCCACTCCTTATCCATTCACTTGGAGAACTGGGCCAAAGGAGCAGAGCCTGAGCTATGCCAAGGAGGGACATGGTGTGCCTTCCAAAGGTCACAGCCCTATTGGGACCACATCCCAGGGTAACACAGTGATCAGTTAGCCCCAAGGCAGAGGAGCGGGTCCTTCCCCAGTAACAGCTGAAAGGATCTTTCTAAAACCCAAATCATGTTCAGTCTTTCTCTTAGGAAATAGCCATCAATGTGCCAGACACTGCTGTTTGGTGCTAGGGATACAGAAATGAACTCAGAGAAAGTCCTTGCTCTCAGAGTGCTCACACTGAGGAATGGAGACCCACAGTGAACACCATCAATGAGGAAATTGGACAGCATATCAGAGATGGGAGCAAATTTTGTGGAGAAAAGCAAAACAGGGAATAGAGCTGCTGGAGGGCTGGGGGTGAAAAGCACATCCCTGGCCTGTGGCACCCTCCTGTGGCTGCTCTCTGCACTCAGCATGCTCTGCAGCCCCTCTCCAAGGCTGCAAGGCCTACGGGATGTGGCTTCTGCCTATTCCAGTCTCATCTCCCCTGCTCCCTTTCTCCAGGCACCCGGATCCCTGGCTGCTTCTAAAGCACCCGAGATTCTTAACCACCGCAGGGCCTTTGCCCTTGCTGTCCCCCCTGCCTGAAGCGCTCTCCCTACAGCTTCTTATGGGTCACCTTCTCACTTCCTTCAGGTCTCAGAGTCAAGGCAGCATTCCCTGAGCCTTCTGATAAGGCTTTCCTCCTATTCTCTGCCCACAAACCTGCCCGAAGACATCCCCCATCATTTCCTCCACAGCACTGATCATCATCAGCCAGTAATTTGCTGACGGGTTTACTGTCTGTCTCACTCTAGCCAGCAGAGATTCTCCTCTCCTCTGGTCACTGCTGTGTTCCCAGCACACGGAACAGCACCCAACACAGGCAAATGCTGCTGAGCCAACAGGTGAGTGAATGAGTGAGCACCCACCCATGAGTACCTCCAGGCTATGTGGGGGAGGGGAGGTGTGCCAAGCCCCTGGTTCCACCCCTGCCCCCAGGCCCAGGCATCAGCCTACCTGGCAGTGTTAAAGATGTGCTGCTGCTTGTTCTCCTTGGGGTCTAAAATCACCACCACACAGCTGGGGAGAAAGAGGAAAATGTGCCTCAACTGGGGGGAGTGTTGGGGTCCTGGGATGATTCTATTCCCACCAGAAAAGCCCACAAATAAACAAGCTCCCTCCGCACAGACGATTCTCTCTGGTCTCCTCCTCCCCACCCTCCTCCAGGTGTTTACACTGAGAATTCTAGGGCACTTTAACATTACTATGTTCTTAAACAGAAACCAGCACTTCCTCTGAGGTAATGTCTGTCAGGCCCTAGGCTAATAAAGACTTTAGGCTGGCTACAATCCCAGCACTTTGTGAGTAGGGGGTGGGGGGGATCACTTGAGCTCAGGAGTTTGAGACCAGCCTGGGCAACACAGTGAGATCTCGTCTCTACTAAAAAAAATTAGCTGGCTGTGGTGGCATGTGCCTGTAGTCCCAGCTACGTGGGAGGTGGAGATGGGAGGATCGCTTGAGCACAAGAGGTTGGGGCTGTAGTGAGCTGTTATTCACACTATTGCATTCTAGCCTGGGCAACGCAGCCAGACTCTGTCTAAAAAAAACAAAACAAAACAAAAGAGAGAGAGATGTAATTGTTTTAAATCCTCACAACTGCCAGGTCAGGTCAGGACTCTGTAGGTCCATTTATAGATAAGGAAACAAACCCATAGAGGGGACGTCCTTAGCACAGTGCCAGGCTACATGAGTATTTATGGAATAAACAGCTGTAGCATCTTCTTCAGTCTTCTCAACTATGCAAGCAGAGAGGGTCACTAGCTCTGTTTTACAGAGGCAGAGGAAGAGGCTCAGAAAGCAGCACACATGGCAGAGCTGGGACACAAATCCAGGTTACCTGACACCACAGTGTGGACTTTAATCACCTGTCTTTCCCAGAATCGCTGTCACCTCCCCCCTGTAGTCATAATAAAGGCTTTCATTGCACTCACTACATGCCAGGAACTGTTCTAGACACAGAGGGGGCTATGGAATCCTCTCCACAGCTCTCAGAAGCAGGCCCCATTAGCCACATTCTACAGGTGAAAAAGATGAGGCTCAGAGCGATTTACAGATGGCTTCAGGCTCCAAGCTCCAAATTCCCTAGCAATGATTGGACATCGAGGCCCTTATCTGCTTACCCTGCCAGGTAGGCCACATGGCCTGTGCCAGGGTCACAGGTTAGGCCACTGCTGTTCTGGGCTGTGATGCCAAGCACCTTCTCGAGTGACACCTGTAAAGAAAAAGCCCAAGTCAGAGGCACCCGCCCCAGCTGGCACCACATGGTGCAGCTGCCTTGGCCACCCATTCAGATCCTGCTGCATTCAACACCCACTCACTGAGCTTCTGTGGCCATGCCATCCACCAGCAGCTAACACTTGTTCTCTCAACATTCCTTTGACAAATACGACGCTAGGTGAAGAGCACAGAGTGGTGAGGAAGAGACAAATCCCTGCCCTCGTAGGGCTCATATCCTACTGGTGATGGGTATGTAGGACATAGAAAAGCAGAACAAATATGTGAAATAGATGCCAAGTAATGACGGGTGCAAGAGAGAAGAAAGCAGATAAGGAGGTCAGGAGTGCAGGGGAAGGGGGAGAATGCCGTGGTGAGAAGGTGACCTGTGAATAAGCTTCTAAGTATTTTTTTTTTTGAGATGGAGTTTATTTGTTTTTTGAGATGGAGTCTTGCTCTGTCACCAGGCTGGAGTCCGTGGTGAGATCTTGGGTCATTGCAACCTCCACCTTCCGGGTTCAGGCGATTCTCCTGCCTCAGCCTCCTGAGTAGCTAGGATTACAGGCGCATGCCACCATGCCCAGCTAATTTTTGTTTTAGTAGAGATGGGGTTTCACCATGTTGGCCAGGCTGGCCTCGAACTCCTGACCTCAGGTGATCCACTCACAGCCTCCCAAAGTGCTAGGATTATAGGCAAGAGCCACTGTTCCTGGCCTCTTAGTACTTTTATATGTATAAAAGACTTGAATCCCCACAACAAGCCAAGAAGGCGGCACTATTATCACCCCTGTTTTACAGGTAAGAAGTCTGATGCCCAAGATCCTACATCTGCAAATGGCAATGTTGATATAGAAACCCAGGGAGTCTGGCTCCAAAGTCAGCACTTCGGGCTGTACAGGAGAGACACAATAGTGACCAAAGGTAGACAGTTTCCCCACATCAGATTCATAGTCCAGAAATTTGAGAGATTTGAACAAGTAAAAAAACACATGAACAGTAATATTTAAAATTTAAACAAGGCTGGGTGTGGTGGCTCAGTCAGGAGTTTGAGACCATCCTGGCCAAAATGTCAAAACCCTGTCTCTACTAAAAATACAAAAAAATTAGTCAGGTGTGGTGGCCCATGCCTATAATTCCAGGTACTCAGGAGGCTGAGGCAGGAAGATCGCTTGAACCCAGGAGGCGGAGGTTTCAGTGAGCTGAGATGACACCACTGCACTCCAGCCTGGGCGACAGAGTGAGACTCTGTCAAAAAAAAAAAAAAAAAAAAGAAGGCCGGGTGCGGTGGCTCAAGCCTGTAATCTCAGCACTTTGGGAGGCCGAGATGGGTGGATCACGAGGTCAGGAGATCGAGACCATCCTGGCTAACACGGTGAAACCCCGTCTCTACTAAAAAATACAAAAAACTAGCCGGGTGAGGTGGCGAGCACCTGCAGTCCCAGCTACTTGGGAGGCTGAGGCAGGAGAATCGCTCGAACCCGGGAGGTGGAGCTTGCAGTGAGCTGAGATCTAGCCACTGCACTCCAGTCTGGGTGACAGAACAAGACACCGTCTCAAAAAAAAAGAAAAAGAAAAAGAAAAAAAAAGGAAACAAATAGATGAGGAAACAGAGGCCAAGAGGGGTTACCCATCTAGGAAGGGGTAGCGCCAGGATTCCAACATAAACAACCAAGCCATGGCACTCATGTTGTCTTATCTGTCGATCAGCATTACTGGGCATTGGTATGAATGGTCACTTTTAGACTAGTTCTTTGCAAGACAGATCAACTCTGTACTGCCAAACAAGAAAAATAAATAAATATTACCCCAAACACACAGTCATAGTATCAATATTAGCCAACATGAATAGAGTACTTGCCATGTGCCAGTGTTGTTCTGAGTGCCTAGGATATGTGACCTCATTTAATCCTCACAAATACCCTATGAAAGATTTCTACATCATTCTCATTTTACAGATAAGAAAACTGAGGCACAGATAAGTTCATAACTTGGCGGGGCACAGTGGCTCACTCCTGTAATCCCAGTACTTTGGGAGACTGAGGCAGGCAGATCGTTTGAGCTCAGGAGTTCAAGACCAGCCTGGCCAACACGGCGAGACCCTGTCTCTACCAAAAAACAAAACAAAACAAAATTAGTCAGGTATGGTGGCATGCACCTGTAGTCCCAGCTACTCAGGAGATTTGAGGTAGGAAGATCACCTGAGCCCATAGAGGCTGAGACTGCAGTGAGTCGAGATCACCCCACTGCACTACAGCCTGGATGACAGAGTAAGACCCCATCTCAAAAAAAAAAAAAAAGAAAAGAAAAAGAAAAAGCAAAGTTCATAAACTGCCAGGAAGAACAGGACTAAAGTTTAAGCTCAGGCTGCCTGAGTCCAACCATACCAGTCTGTTCTCTTAGCCACCTTGCTATAATGCCTCTCTGAATTTGATATTGTTATATGTAGTTTAATAGCTCAAAAGGCACTTTCAGGAACATATAAGATAAAGGCTATGACGTATAGGGTGCTGGGTGAGAGATGAAGGTGGGTGTCTGCTTTAGAATGGGGTTCAAGAAGGCCTTTCAAGATAACGACATTCAGGCTGAGACTTGAAGGATGGGAAGGAGCCAGCCAGGTAGATTGCAGCAAAAATCCCAGGCTAAGGAGGCAGAAAAGAATATGGAGCCTCAGGAAAACCAAAAGCAGGCCAGTGTAACTGAACGTTGGTGACAGGGAGGACATGGGAGGTACAGCCAGAGCCCTATAGCCAGGAGTGGGCAGTATAATCACAGTGCAGGAGAAAGTCATGGGGCAGGAACAAGCTCCACCAGCAGCTACCAGGTATCCTCCCTTTATCTGGACTCTGTGCCAAGAAGATTACAAGTAAAATTTCATTTCTCTCCAATGCAATAGTATAATTTTTTTTTTTTTTTTGAGATAGTCTTACTCTGTCGCCCAGGCTGGAGTGCAGTGGTGTGACCTCAGCTCACTGCAACCTCCGCCTCCTGGGTTCAAGGGATTTCTCCCGCCTCAGCCTCCTGAGTAGCTGGGATTAAAGGTGCGCGCTAGCACGCTCGGCTAATTTTTGTACTTTTTGTAAAGACGGGGTTTCACCATGTTGGCCAGGCTGGTCTTGAATTGATCTCAGGTGAACAGCCCACCTTGGCATCCCAAAGTGCTGGGATTACAGGCGTGAGCCACCGTGCCCTACCAATACTATGGTTCTTATCATCTCCATTTTATAAAAACAGATTTTGTGCCTACAGAGCTGGAAAACAATTTTTTTAAATTGCCGCTGTGCTAATGGAATTCCTTCTACCTACTGTGAAATCATTTCCTTCTGTGTTTCTGTCTCAGAATTTAGGGAACTGTTCTGTGCGCCCTCCTCCCCAGGCAGCACTGCGGAGATTTTATAAATAACTTCTTACGTCTCTGTCATAGTTTTGAATGACAATATGGATTAAGAATCCCCACCTTGGTGAGGAAAAAGGATAGAGACCGCAGAAGGTGAGAGAAGGCGAGGTAGAAGCGAGGAAGAGTTGGGGCAGGTAACACTCTGGACTAAACTCTCGAAGGGACCTTAATGACCCAGCGGGGGCCAGGGCAGTGAGGCTGCAGTGAGCTATGATCGTGACGTCTAAAGGCGACAGAACAGGGGTTAAAGTATAGGAGGACTAGGCTGTGATTTGCAGAAGCAAAATGCATTCCCCAGTGGTGGGAACCAGGGAGGAACCCAGGAATTACTCCAACGCTGAGGGTGGAGCCGGGAATGCACCGAGGAGAGGGAAAGTGGGAGGGGCCATGGCTAAAGGGGCGGAACTTAGGGGACGAAGCCAGGCAGGGAACAGCCTGAGGGGACTGGCCAGGGACTGATAGTCGGGGCCACAGTTCTCAGGACGGGACTAGGGGAAACCCAGGAGGCCTGGAACTGGGGTAGACATGACGAGCAGCTTCTCACCCGGTTCTGCACCGTCTCCTCGGAGGCCGTCGAGAGTCGCGTCCGCCGCCGGAGGCAAAGCGGTGGGGAGGACTGACCCCTCCGCGCCGGAACTCCCGCCATGACAGAGGGCAGCTTCTCCCCTGCATCGTTCCGCGCACAGCCTCCAGACCCTACGGCCGCCATCGTCACGCCGGAGCCGGGCGACCGTTACATCCCTTAACCGCCACCGCCGCCGCCGCCGCCACCGCCACCGCCACGACCCACTGAAACAGCGAACAGCCGCGGGAAAGCCGGCGCCGCCGCCTATTGGACGCCACAGGCCCGGCCTGGCCAACCGCAGGGCTGCCGGGCGGCGCTTAGGGCCAATGGGAGCGAAGAGGCGGAGCGAGTGCCTGGCGGGGCGGCTAGTGTACTGGACGCCTGATCAAGAGTCGTGGGGTCTTTCATCCAGACTCCGTTTTCATTATTCGCTGAAACATACAGGTTTTAACTTTTACGAGGCTAAGGCCCCAGCTGCCTCACCTCGGTTTTTGCCGCCACCCAGAGGAACTATATGCGCTCCGACGGTCGCCCGGATATAGGCGTAGGGTGGAGCCGTAAGAGATTGACTGGCCAGTTGAATTGGTTGGCGCAGGCTCAGAAACGACGTGATGCCGCCCCTCTCCCCAACACGTGATGAAAGTCGGGGTGGAGAAGGGCAGGCTTTGCGCAGGCGCACACTTCTCGCTATAGCCAATTCGCTACGTGACGAGGGCGTGACTGTGGCACTGGAGGGGAGCCTAGTAGGCAGGCGCTCTCAGCGCTCTCCCCGGCACGTGACGAGTCTCCACGGACGTCATGTGAGGCAGGCGGCGAGCGCGCGGGCGGGGCGGGGTTCGGCGGCGCTCCACGAGAACCAAAGTGCAGCTGCTGACCCGGCAAAACTCAACGGGGCTGGACAGCCATGCCTAAGTACTGCAGGGCGCCGAACTGCTCCAACACTGCGGGCAGCTTGGGCGCAGACAACCGCCCCGTGAGCTTCTACAAGTGAGCGCAGCGCGGGGCGGGGCTTGAGGGAGGCGGGACCCTGGGAGGGGCGGGGCCCGAGCTTTAGTGAAGCTGTGCGGGCCTTCTGGTCTCGCTTGAGGGTGTTAGGAAGTGGGGTTAAACCGTGAGGAGATGGCCTTCCTGGCAGTGTCCACTGCACCTGCAAAGGTGCTGGCGTGGAAAACATCAGGAGTAGACGATTAACTACAGGTAGCGAACGAAGCGAGCCGAAGAGGGAAACGGATGTAAAAAGTGAAGTCGGTGCAGGCTCTGTAAGAGCCTACAGATGCCCACTTGCCCTCCCCACGCATTTGAGCCATCTGAAACTCAGAGCATCCGAAACTGAGCTTGTGATCGCGTCTCCCCCAAAACCTTCCAGTCTGTCCTTAGTAGTTCCCTGATTGCAGCCAGAGGGAGCCTGTGAACACCTGAGTCAGATCAACGCCCTCCTCTCCCAGATCCCTTCCCTGACTCCCACCTCACTGTAAAAAATAAAGTGAGGCTGGAGCAGGTAGAAAGCAGGCCTGCAAAGTCCTACAGAGCTGGTTCCCTGATACCAGTGTGACTTCATCTCTTTCCTCCTGCCCTTCACTCCAGTAACACTGGCCTACTTCATGTTCCTGTAGCATAGCAGGCATGTTACTGCCCTGGTATCTTTGCCTGTGCCATTCCCTCTGATTTCAAAGTTCTTGCCTTTATGACTACCACCCTATGGAAAACTGTAACTGACACCGAAACACACACACGGTTCTCTCTGTCTTCTGCTTTATTTTTCCCTTTAACACATCACTGTCTGCATATCGCATTTTTGATGTATGCATTCCTTATCTCCACTCCTTATCCCCACTAGAATGTCACCTCAATCAAGCCAGAGGTTTTGTCTTTCTCTGTCTTTCTTGTTTCCTCTTGTTTGTGTCTCCAACCTCTAGAACAGTGCCTGGCACATAGTAGGTGCTTAGTAAAGATCTGTTGGGTGGATTTGATGAATGCATTTCAGATGGGCTCTCCAGGAAAGCCAGCAGTCCATGTCTCATGGATCCTTTGAGGGACCCTGGTATAGGGCCAGAGGGATTCGGGGGAACTTTAAGCCTGTATATGACTCTGGCAAGTGTTGATTAATTCAGCAACTTTTTGAGTATTTCTTGGAGAAGCAAGTAAGCCCCTGCTGGACACAAAGAACCCTGACAGATCTTGTTTCTGCCATGACAGAGCTCATGGATAGGTGAGGGTCAAACATTGAGGAATTGAGTACGTGACCTGGGAGTTACCCATAATCCTTCCTTTTCATCCGCCGCTAGTCCATTAACCTGCCCTTTGGCTCTACCCTCAAGACATGTCTCCATCCTGCAATAACCACAACAAAATCTCTAACACCTTGACAAGACAGTTATAAACACAAATGAGAAAGTCCCAAATAAATCATTAAGAAATAAGGAAAGATAGGCTGGGCGTGGTGGCTCACACCTGTAATCCCAGCACTTTGGGAAGTCGAGGCAGGAGGATTGCTTGAGCCCAGCAATTCGAGACCAGCCTGGGCAACATGGCAAAACCCCATCTCTACAAAATGTAAAAATTAGCCGGACATGGTGGTGCATGCCTGTAGTTCCAGCTACATGGGACATTGAGGTAGAGAATCACTGGAGCCCAGGAGGCCAAGGCTGTAGTGAGCTGTGATCACGCCGCTGTACTCTAGCCTTGGCAACTGTGTGAGACCTTGTCTCAAAATAAATAAATAAGAAATAAGGAAAACACATTCCCAGACTACTTCTCATTACATCCACTGTCGTCACATAGTCCAGGCTGCCATCATCCTTTTTTTTTTTTTTTTTTTGAGACAGGGTCTTGCTCTGCCACCCAGGCTGGAGTGCAGTGATATGATCTCGGCTCACTGCAACCTCTGCCTCCCAGGTTCAAGCGATTCTCCTATCTTAGCCTCCCGAGTAGCTGGGACCACAGGTGCACACCACCACACCCAGCCAATTCTTTGTACTTTTAGTAGAGGTGGAGTTTCACCATGTTGGCCAGGTGGGTCTCGAACTCCTGACCACAGGTGATCCACCCACCTTGGCCTCCCAAAGTACTGGGATTACAGGCATGAGCAACCATGCCCAGCCCCTGTTTCCACTCTTACCTCACTCATAACAACAACAATAGTTACTTAGAGAGTATTCACCTTATGCCAGGCACTGGTCTAAGTGCTTTGTAGGTAATAATAATGGGGAATGATGACGACTGTATACAGCAGCCAGATGACTGTATGAAAATCAATTCATGTCTTCATTGGCACCCAATAGTGACTAACCCATTTACACCTCAGGGCCTACCCCTGAGTCAGTCATGCAGAAGCCACTCAGTTAAGAGTTAGATGAAAAGCAGTTTCCAAAAGAGGCTTAGGAGAGGGCCTGGATGCCAGATGAGAGATAAGATGAGACACGTTGAGGGAAGTGGCTGCCAGGAAATAACTTGAAATCCTGCTTGGCAGCCACAGGGAGCACTCATTAGTTCACTCTCTGTCTCTCTCTTTTTTGAAACATGATCTTGCTTTGTCACCCAGACTGGAATACGGTGGTACGATCATGGCTCACTGCAGCTTCAACCTCCCAGGCTCAAGCAGTCCTCTCATCTCAGCCTCCTTTGTTTTGTTTTTTCTTCATGTTTCATTTTATTTTTATGCTAGTCAAGCATGGTTGTGTGGGGAGACAATGTTAATCAGCTTAGCAATAACCCACAACACTCAGACCAGCTCCATTTCAGCCTCCTGAGTAGCTGGGACTATAGGCATGTGCCACCATGCCTGGCTAGCTTTCATTAGCTCTGTCTTAGGCCTTTTCAGGGACAGTGGCAATGGGGTCATCTCTTATGGGGGACCTATCATTTAGAATTATATCTGCTTGGTAGTAACAAAGTCCTGCAATAAGAGTTGATTAAACAAATTATGGGGTCTATAGGAATCAGTGTGGTTAAGTTATGCTGCACGAGCAAACTTCTCAAATCTCAGTGGCTTACTACAACAAAGGTGTTTTTTTGTTGTTTTTTTGTTGTTGTTTTTTTAAGAAGGGATCTCTATCACCTGGGCTAGAGTGCAGCACCATCATGGTTCACTGCAGCCTCAAACTCCTGGGCTCAAGCAGTCCTCCCGCCTCAGCCTCCTGAGTAGCTGGGACTACAGGCAGACACCACCTTGTCAGGCAAATTTCTCTAATTTTTGTAGAAGTGAAGTCCCACTGAGCTGGGCGCGGTGGCTCATGCCTGTAATCCCAGCACTTTGGAAAGCCGAGGCGAGTGGATCACCTGAGGTCAGGAGTTCGAGACCAGCCTGGCCAACATGGTGAAACCCCATTTCTACTAAAAATACAAAAATTAGCCAGGTATGGTGGCACGCGCCTGTAATCCCAGCTACTCAGGAGGCTGAGATGGGAGAATCGCGTGAACTTGGGAGGAGGAGGTTGCAGTGAGCCAAGATCGTGGCAGTGAGCCAAGATCATGCCACTGCACTCCAGGCTGGGTGACAGAGCAACTCCGTCTCAAAAAAAAAAAAAAAAGGCCCCGTTTCTACTAAAAATACAAAAAATTAGCCGAGTGTGGTGGTAGATGCCTGTAATCCCAGCTACTCGGGAGGCTGAGGCAGGAGAATTGCTTGAACCTGGGAGGCAGAGGTTGCAGTGAGCCGAGATCGTGCCATTGCACTCCAGCCTAGGCAACAAGTGCGAAACTCCGTCTCGAAAAAAAAAATGAAGTCTCACTGTGTTGCCCAGTCTGGAACTCCAGGGCTCAATCAGTCCTCCTGCTTTGGTCTCCCAGAGTGCTGGGATTACAGGCATGAATCACTACACCTGGCCCAAAGGTGTTTTTCTTGCTCACGCTATGTCCTTTGCAGGTCATTTGTGGTCCTACTCTACAGTATCTTAATTGGGGTCTCAGGCTGAAGAAACTGTCCCTATTTGGAATACTGCTGTTCTTGCGGGAGGAGGAAAAGAGAAAGTGGGGTGAATCATCCGGTGGCTCTTGGTCAATTTTATATTTAGAAGAGGCCCATATCACTTTCACTGGCATTCTTTGACTGGAGCAAGTATATAGCAAGCCTCAAGTCAATGGAGTGGGCATGTGAAATCCTCATGTGGAGGGAGGCAGCAGACATTCTGAACAGTAATACAGTCTATTACAGGGTTTATTTTCCCTCATATAGACCAAGTACAGAGGTTGGCAAACCAGCACTGGAATAGTAGTTCCACAGTCATCAGAAATGAGGGTCCTATCTCTCTTTCTCTCTTTCTTTCTTTCTTTTTTTTTTGAAAGTCTCATTCTATCACCCAAGCTAGAATGCAGTGGCACGGTCTCAGCTCAC